AGAGCCTTTGTATACCTCTGTATGAGACAAGCAAAGGGAATCAGAGGCTCTGGGTAGTACATGCAGAGATAGAACTCTTACTCAAGACAAGTACAAAGCCTTTATGAAGCTCTGTATGAAGGACGGAGGCAGGGTCAGAATGACCCCGTAGCACCTGTAGAACCTCTGTTAAACTCTGTATGAAGAACGGAATCAGGCTTCAAGGACACAAGTGTAAAGAAAGTTTCCAGAGATTAAGACGAAAACTATTCAGAGTTACAAGTCTGAAGGCCATCTTTGGAGTAAGAGACAAAGCCTCGACGCATTACGTGAGGAGACATAGCTCTTTCTCAAGACTTAAATGCAGAACCTCTGTGCAGCTCTGCATGAAACACAGAGTCTGGTTCAGATTGACCGCATAGCACGTGCAGAACCTTTGTTAAGCTCTGTATGAAGGACAGAATCAGGCTTGACAAACACAAGGGCTAAGAAATCCTCCAGAGTTCACGACGAACAATATCTAGCGTTGCAAGACTTCTAAATCAAGATGACCAATCTGGCTACAAGTGTGAAGTTCTTTTCAAGAGTTAATTGCTAAAATTAGCCAATGCTACAACTTTGTATAAATTTTCCGTTGTCTTAGAAATAAACCAACTTTTGATAATGATTGTCTTTGGCTCTAATTAAATGAGAAACTCTGGACATTAACTCTGAAAGAAAACTCTGAATATTAACTCTGAAACACAAGAATTCAGAATTCTATTGTTAGACTGGAAAATAACTCTGGAGTTAACTCTGAATAAGAGGAATTCAGAGTTGTCTTCTAAGTCTAGAAAGTATCTATGAGCATAACTCTGAGTCACAAGAATTTTGATATCTTATAACTCGAAAACATAACTTTGAAGAGGAGTTTAGAGTTGTATTCTAAGTCTGGAAATAAACTATATAACTAAGTTTGGAACAGAACAATTCAGAGTTATGTTGTAAGTCTGAGAAATAACCAATATCTGATGACTTCATGTTGATGATTTATATCACCAATGTCATTTAAGTGTAATGGGATTAAATTGTTGACCAATGTAATCATGATAAATATTGAACAGGTAAGGCATGTGCGAAGTGCACACTTGTTTGAGTTTATTTTAATTTAGTGACGAAGCCCCTAACAGAAGGGGTTCGGGGGCAGCGCCCCCGGGTGGCGGGGTCCAAGGGGCAGAGTTAAATTGCTTTGTGAAAAATGCTTCAAAAATGCGAATTTGAAATTTAAACCCGGTTTTGATGACCACTCCAGAGTTAAATTCAGACGTGAATTTTTCCAGAGTTATGTTGTAAGTCTGAGGGCCGTAAGTGAAAATTGTGTTTTAGGCGGGAAAAATCAATAACCGTCGCACAGAAACGCGACACGTGTCCCCAAAGTTACTTATTTATTAGTATTATAGATATGCATATACATAAATTAATTAACTTTATATTATTATTAATTAATAAAGTATTAATATTTTTTTAATAATTATAAAAATTAATTAAATTCACATTATTAATTAATTAATTAAGTACACGTGTCTCCAAAGTTACTTATTTATTAGGCATATAGCTGTTATAAATTAATTAACTTTATGTTATTATTAATTAATAAAGTATTAATATTCTTTTAATAACTATATAAATTAATTAAATTCACATTATTATTAATTAATTAAGTACTAAGAGTACATGTTCTTCTAAATTTTTCCCCTAGTAATATTGGTTTGTGAAAAATGCTTCAAAAATGCGAATTTGAAATTTTAAACCCGATTTTGATGACCACTCCAGAATTAAATTTAGACGTGAATTTTTTTAGAGTTATGTTGTAAGTCTGGGGGCCGTAAGTGAAAATTGTGTTTTAGACGAGAAAAACCAATAACCGTCGCACAGAAACGCGACACGTATCCCCAAAGTTACTTATTTATTAGTATTATATATATATATATATATATATATATATAGGGTTGGGTTCACGTGAGACCCATAAGACCAATTTATTTTCATTGATCAACTTTATAAGTTAATGATCTAATAGTCTAAAGTTTCAAGGTGACAATTTTGTAATTATTGAGAAGTCTTGTGGCGTTTATGAATGTTCTGATCTGACGATTGTAAATCTAATCCAAGGGTTGAGAATTGGTCTTACGGGTCTCACAAAAAACCATTGGTCTCACATGATCCCAAGTCCATATATATGTATATATATATACACACACACACACACACCAGAAGTGTACTCGCATAATGCAGCGAGATACATCTCGATTTTAATGTTCTATTTTATTCTTTGTTTCTGTTAATGTTATAATACGATTTTATGTGTTTTTAAGAAAGCAATAATGATTTTATTTATGAATAAAATTTAAATTTGAAGATATCATAAAAATTTTAAAAAAAACATATCAATGTTAATATCAAATCAACTATTTAAAAGTTATCATTTTAATATAATTTCTTTAATTTATTTTTTTATTATAATTTAATTTAAGTTTAATAATGAAATAATTTATTTTTGGTTTAATAATATAATATTTTATATATATAATAATTAAGTATTCTGATAGAACTTAATGATTATCTTAATTATATTTTAGATTTTTTATATTTAAAATGAGATTTTATCATGTATTTGATTATATTTATGTGTAGCTAGTTACACGAATTCGGATATAAAGCTTTAATAAGTTGTACTTACTCACAATCTACTTGTAATCTTGAGTTTTAAGTAGCATGCATTAATAAACAGTTTTTATGCATAAAAAATGGTTTTTAAGAATTTTTATCAAATGCTTTATAATATAATGTATATATATATATACCATACAAATGAATGGTTATTCAAACTTTGATTAATTTTTCATTTTCTTGATGTTTTCCTCTAAACATGAGAGTCTGTCTTTTTATATAAAACTAAAAAAAATATAGAAATAAAAAAGAGACCTCTTCTTTCTTTTTATAATCTTTTGTTTATTGCTTCCTCTACACTTTCTTCCCCCCATCTTTTTCCAACTTTCTCCTCCCCTCTTTTTCTTTGTGCTTTTCTGTTATTACCCAACTGCTCTCTCTCTCTCTCTCTCTCTCTCTCTCTAACACAAACACAAACCCCTTTATCTTGAGTGACTTCCAAGAACCAATAAACATTCTCATCTTCATCACCTTCAAATTGCAGAACCCAATTACCAGCAACAATGGAAAAGCATAGCTTCTTAACCAATGAAGGTACTGGAATTCCACATGCCTGGAATTCAATCTTTGGAATGGAATTGGAAAGTCAAGTTACTGAGCTAAATTGTAGCTCAGAACAGCTTTCCAATTGCTTTTTCAATCGGAATTGGGATAACTCCATGGATCAGAGCGATCCCTTTGAATCTGCCTTGAGTTCCATTGTCTCATCTCCGGCGAGCTCGCACCCCGGAATCCCAATTCCTGGCGGCTGTGGTGGCGGGGACAACATGGTGCTCAAGGAACTGATTGGTAGACTAGGAAGCATATGCAATTCTGGTGAGATTTCTCCTCAGTCTTGCATTCATGGAAACACCAGTACCAACACGTCGTGCTACAATACTCCATTGAATTCACCACCCAAGCTCAATCTCTCAATCATGGATCATCATCAGATTCAAGGGAATTTGACAATTCCCAGGAATCATCAGTTACCACTGGCTCCATTCCCTGTAGATCCTGGATTTGTTGAGAGAGCAGCAAGATTCTCCTGCTTTGGGGGCAAGAATTCTGGGGTGAAAGAATCTGAATTCCCCCATATGGTGGAGTCAGGAAAACTGTCAAGAGTGTCAAGTAATCAGTCTTTCAAGACTGCTGGATCTCAATTCATGGGAATTCAAGAAGACAAGGATGGAAATGGAATCCCAGCTTCTGATAAGAAATTCAGCAGACTGTCCATGTCTTTGACTCCAGAAAACAAAGAATTGGATAACTCCATGGAGGAATCATCCCTCTCTGAACAGATCCCTGGAGGAGAAACTGGAATTAAAGCTCAAAGTACCAATTCCAATGGCAGAAAGAGAAAGGCAATTCCAAAGGGGAAAGGTAAAGAAGCCCAATTCAGCACTCTATCTGCTAAAGAAAACAAGGTTAGTTAATTCAATTCTTATCTTTTACAAAAACCCCCATTTAGATTTTCAAGAATTCTTCATAAATTAAAGAGCTTTTGCTCTGTTGCAGACTCTGGCAGGAGCAGAGAAAGAAGAATCGGATGCAAAAAGAAGCAAGCCAGATGAAGAAGGTAATGCTATGGAAAAGGAAAAGGAAAAGGAAAAGGAAAAGAAAAAGACAGAAGGGAATCAGAATCAGAAACAAACAAAGGAAAATGTAAAACCACCAGAGCCACCAAAGGACTACATCCATGTTAGAGCAAGACGAGGTCAAGCTACTGATAGCCACAGCCTTGCTGAAAGAGTATGCCAATTCCATTCCTTTTCCTTCCAATTCCATTCCAATTTTCATCTTCTCATTCCTGTCATCAAACCAATTAACACTCTTCCTTCCAAAATCTCAGGTCAGAAGAGAAAAGATCAGTGAGAGAATGAAGTTCCTTCAAGATCTTGTCCCTGGTTGTAACAAGGTATATATAAACTGAATTCATTTTCATTTTCCTTAATCATTTAATGGAATTTTTTTAATTAATTTGAGATGGAACTTTGTTTTAAAGGTAACCGGAAAAGCTGTCATGCTCGATGAGATTATAAACTACGTGCAATCGTTGCAGAGACAAGTAGAGGTATATATATACACACACACACACAAACTAATTCAAGTATAAATTCTTATGATATGATGGAAATATGGTAATTTTCTTGATTATCCAAATCTTATATTAATTTCTGTTTCTTTCTAGTTTTTGTCGATGAAATTGGCAACAGTTAATCCTAGAACAGATGTGAACATGGAAGCACTTCTATCTAAAGATGTAAGCTTTTCGAATCATGTCCATCTTTCACGATTAGGGGCATGTTAACTTTGAATTTGGGACTAACTTTCTTCGTTTTTCAGATTTTCCAAGCTCGGGCATTGATGTCAAATAGCATGAACCAATTGGATACATCATCCCAGCCATTTTATGGCATGATTCCTGATGGCCAAGATAATCCTTTGATGGTAAGTTTGCTTCATAATTCAAACAAGATTGATGGTTTCACAGAAGCTAATATTTCTGTGTTATCTTGAAAGAGTTTTTGTTGTTGATTCGTTTTAAAAAATGAAAATTTCAGGCTTCAATGTTCTGGGAAAATGATCTTCAGAGTGTTGTCCAGATGGGGTTAAGCCAAAATCAAGCACAGGGCTTTCATGGTGAGTTGACCTTTTTTATTAACAAAGTCAACTAACATCTAAAACAGCAACTTGATCTGATGTATGACCATGAAATCTTTCATTTGATGCAGGAACAATGGGCACAGGTCAAATGAAAGTTGAGCTATGATACTGAATTTGTTGACATAATTATTTAGGCCCTTAAGAAGCAAGAAGAGTATCTGTATAGAGAAAGGAAGAAGAAGACATATCTTCACCTGATATGTTATTTTTAAAGAAATTGTTTGTATAATCCTAGAACTAATTTCTATAAGTTCGGGGTGGGGGGTACTAGAACTATATAAGATGTTGTAATTGGAAAGAGGCTGCAAAACTGTTTTTCTTTCACATATTTTCTTTAACATTCTCATATATCTAATCATTATTTTTGTTTATCTCAACAAGTTTCGTTACCTTCTTTTCATATCTGTTCCAATTTATCGCTTGTAATAGCCTTTCGTGTGGGACCGGGCCGGGTTCTAACGCCAACTTATTACTAATCTAAACCAACGGAAAAAGTCGCCAGCTTTCAACTTTCGGTAAGCCTTTAACTATGCTTTGTCAACAAAGATTGATCTACTACTTAAGCACCAAGACATATAGATCCAGAACAGTACTAGACCATCGGTTATGCGAATAATTTTGGACACTTTACAGATATTTTTCAAAATCCCATAAGAAATTTGCAATTTTCTCAACATTCTGGGCCACCCCACAAAGAAAATCAGATTTTTTTTTGAATTCTTGATGGTGATTAATCTCTTAGAGGTGTCATAATCAGTGGCAAGAAAATTAATTTTCAAGATAGACCTAACATCAAGAAAAGATGGTACCTTTAGAATGGAGTGATTTATGGGGAGATTAGATGTTCATTTTCATATTCTTGATTGTAAACCAGCTGTTAGTGGGGACATTAAAGAATCAAACTCCAAGATTGACTTGTTTTAGCACAGAACCCTTTGATTCCATTCCACTCTTCTTTTTCTACTCTGGAATGACAGCAATCAGGGGGTGAAATCTTTCCCCCCCAAAAGCTAGAACCAGAGAGGATTAACCTAGAGTAATTGCTGCTTTAATGACTTGTACTTTGTGCAATCAAACTTATACCCTATTCTTGAAACTCTAGTTCTTAGAAATGTTGCTACTTTTATAACAAGGGAGTTTTACAAGAATGCCTTTTAGGATGTGTGTCCTTATTAGTATTTATTCGTTTCAATATGTTAGATCGGAACCAGCATATAGTACAACTCATTAATACATCCATCATAATATCACAGTAACCATGACCATGTCCATTCACATGTGAATACATACATAATTCATATAATCATGTATAACAGTCTTGTCTTTTAACAGTTCTGCTCTTAATCTATCAAAACTGGTATGCATACAACATTGTATATGCATGTGTGTATGTCACATACATATATATATATACATGATATATATATACACACACACACACGCATTCAGATTTCAGACAGGATGGTCATGGTGAAGATCTGACTTTGGCAAAGGAATCAGAGGCCTTTTTATTTGGCAATCATCTGCTTTAGAAACTTGTGAAAAAGAAGATCTTTTTGGATAAGTAGAATGTTTAAAGTAGTGGTGTTAAGATGTAGAAAGATACCCTTTGAAAGATAGACAGCCAAACTTTCTGTGAAAGCCTGGCTCTCAAATTCTCTTGCTACCTTCCAAAAACCTACATTACAATCCATCATTACTTCACACCCCCCATTTCTTTTTCTATCTTTTTCTCTGCAAGAATTTTGTTCCAATGAAGGTGTTCTGCGAAACGTTCGAGTTCGAATAAAAAAGGTTCCGACTTTGAGACTGTTATTAGGTGTCGGAGGAGAAAGAGCGAGTGAAACTCGGTTGTGAGTTCGCGTAAGAGTTCGCTTTCTTAAGTTGTATTTCGACCCTAATTTTGGGTATCGGGAAACCAACTTGAGGATAATCTCATATTTAAAGAATGATTTTGGCAGAAATAACTTAGAGAATCATAATTGTACCTTAATTAATGCCGATAAAATCTCACCATAAATGAAAATGATTGCTGGAGTAATTAATGGACAGTAAAATGGACGGTAGTTACCAAATGGTTAAAACTGCACATCGAAAATCCTCAGTAAATACCACTTTCAGAATAAGAAGCTTCTGAACAAGTGGGACCACTGTCAAGGGGCTGCCCCTACGACCCGCAAAGGGGTGCGGGACCCCTTGACACTCACCGGATGGAGCCATCTAGCAATCATGGGTTCTAGTTAACTTACAAGAATGTGCATTTCACAACTCCTAACCCGTGATATAGCTTAACTATCAACCCCATATTCTTTTTTGAACCAAAATTACATAAAACAAATGAATGGTTTCACTAAAATCACCAACAAGATAGTGTTCAAATATTATATTTATTTATATATATATATATATATATATATAATATGTTTGAAATGAGAATCTTTATATACAATCAGATAAGAAGCACAAAAAGGTTAAATCAGTGGCATTTGAACAAGCCCGTTGGCCAGTTTCCTCCAAGATTTACTAGCGATTCGTTCAATCAATTTTTTGGTCATTTTATATCGGTTGATGGGGTAGTTTTGAAGTGGGGTAGAAGGGAATGTAATTAGAGAGGAGGGTTATTGGTCCCTTGGATTTAATATCTACCAAAGAGTAGTTGTGACCAAATTTCTTGAAGAATGACATTGACATTACATGAACTTAAAGATAGAAATTCTGGTGGAAAATATTAAAGGATTGCCAAACATGGTCATTAGGGTTCCATCCTCCATAATCAAGATCCAAGATTCATGCTAACATTCATCCATTTGGGTATTCCTCATTGCTTAACGGTTATTTAGCCAAATAATCTTTTTATAAATTCATGATCTTTTCAGAGGTTTTTGAGGGCCAAATGACCTCTTCGTAAGTGTTTTGTAAATTCATGACCTTCCGACAGTTTTTTAAGTAACATTCTCAAATCTATCAGAAGGTCATAAATTTAAAGAAAACCCACATCCAAGAGGGTGAATTTTCCCATTTAGGCTTCTTCTTATAGGTCATCGGTTCAAGTCCCTCAAGACCATTGAAGATTTTCTTGTCTGTTTTCCAAGATCCATGAATTAGTTGAGGTGAGTGTAAGCTGCCCCAGACACCCATGATCAAGAACAAGTTAACCCTTTTTTCTTAACTTTACTGAGAAGCCAACATAATAACCAGGGGCAGATGCAATGGCAAAAAGAAGGGGGGGGGGGGAAGGACCCCAGTCAAAAAACATTAAAAAATTCATAAGTTAAAATTTAGGTTTTACATAATTTACCTTTCACTTCCCCCCATTACATTTTTCCACGGGCCCCCAACCCCAATCGAAACCGTTACTCTAACCAAAAAAATCTGTTGAAATCAATCAAAAAAACCAAAAAAGTTATTCGAAATCGACAAAAACACTAAAAAAATCCCTCGAAAACGTTGTAATGAGGTTAAAAACACATCGGACGATTTCGCGGGTCTTTAGTCTACCTTAAAGATGACCCCATTGAACAAAAACCCTGGATCCGCCACCGATAATAACCCAATTTGACTTGGGGTAAAAGTAAAAAAGAAAACAAAATGAATGATGGGTTAAGAAAAGAAAAAGGGAAGATTGATTGAATGAAGAGGTTTGCATGTGGGGTTTGATTTGTTTATGAAGAATTATGATTAGGAATAGGAATGGGAATAGGAAGGGTCCATTTACCAGCCTGTCACTAATTATCATACCCCATATACCTACAAATCACTCTCTTTCCTCACTTTATGTCTCTTTCTTTCCCCTTAACAACCATCTTTTTATTTAACCATCTTTTTACTCTTTCATACATATACAACACACTTCTCATCTTTGGTGATGTTTGAACCTCTAACCTGCTAAAAGACCAAAGACTCACATACCGTTAGGTCAAACACCCTTTGAGATAGTAAATATTAAATGATACTCCTTTTCTTAAAAGTACTAGTTGGAAAAGCCTACACTTCACCCACCCACCCACAATCTTATTTCACACTCAATTTCTAAGTATCTATTTATATACAAATACAATTACAATTTACAAAAAGTATTAGAGAATTATGGAAATACGAATGTGTATATCCACGTTCTATGTGCGTTAACGATGGATAAAAACTGGGCTTTCTCTGATATTTAACTGGTCCTTGTCAGTTCTTCCACAACTGGTGATGGCCTTAACTGGCTCGGTCCTTAACCGATCATTTCAAAAGAAAATTGTAGCATGTGTAATGGTTCCTGTAACGGTCCCTAAAGTACCAAATCTTTTTAACGGATCTTAATTTTTAATTTTTTAATATTTTAAATAAACTCGATATTTATGAACTTAAAAAGAATTGTGTATTGAATTTTCTGTTTCAAATAAACTTAGTTTTGAATATTTATTTTATGTAATTTATTTCAAAAATACATTGTTTACTCTAATCAAATAATGTATTCGTTAGCTGCTAAAACATGAGAAATTAGGCTTTAAGAATATGAAATAATTGTTTGATTTCGTGAGTGTTTTTGTTTGTGTGAATACATCATCAACTCAAACATCATTTGATGAATAAGACAAAAAGTCGGTAACTGGTTAGGGTTTTAGTAACTGAACTCGGACCTCCTGTAACCGGCATGCCTTTAGTAACTGAACTCGAACCTCTTGTAACCAATCTCGAGCTTCAGGCCCACTTGCTTATCTCTACTGTCTACTGGTTGTTCATTGCTTTAAAGAGCGTTTTATCATACACACACACTCCCTCGCACTTCAGGGTTTGTATAAATATCTTCGGTGGCAAAAAAAACAAATTCAACACAGATATGCAATTATGACGGCCAGGTCCGCAATTGCGATGGTAAACTGGTTGAATTTGACCATTTTTTTGCCTTTTAGCTAGGTCGGCAAATAATATTGCGGATATAGTGACATTTGGATCAAACCGGGAGAGAAATGGTTAGAAAACCAATTTGGATGAAGGAAATATATCAAAAAGTTGAACATTAAAATACATATATGCACAAAGACAAACGAGTTAATGCCGAAAAGAATCATGTACATATTGTCGTGTGCGTTAGTGCGCACCAACCCTTAGGTCTAAAAAACGTATTGATATATAGTACTTTCGAAGTACCAATCAATATCATTTGTAGCAGATGACTAATACAACTCATTCGTCTCAAAGATAGACGTACAAACGGGCTTAGATCATTAAAAAACGCTTCCTCCACATACATTAAGGGTAAAATGGTCATCTTAAATCTTTAAATTTTTAAGACGTGACATTAGCTGGTAAATTTGTATATCATATATATATATATGTTTTCTATATATTATTCAATCAGATAATGATATTAAAATGAAGAAAAAACATATTGATTATTAATATAAAAATAATCTTTAATTAAATATTTAAAATTAGAACTTATAAGGGTAATTTTTTTTTTTTTTTGTAAGGGTGTCCGGGCCAAAGCCCGACTAATCCCCGGCAAATTTGGAGGCTAAACATGGCCCCACTTAAATGTCGCCAACACTCCACTCCCAGGGCTCGAACTCGGGTTCATGACTATGTCATGCCCAAGCCTTTACCACTAGGCTGGAAGGTCTTTGACTTATAAGGGTAATTTTACGACACCGTTTTAAAGGATGTGTTTCGGTAAATTTATAAAAGTGCAGGTAAAGTGTAAAAACACAAAAACTAAAAATATTTATAAAAAACTATTTTTTTTTTTTTTGAAAAAAGTCACGTCTTGTGAAAAATGCACACCTTGACATGAGTCACACCTTACAGAAACGTTATCGGCCTTATCATACGATGAAGATGCATCTTATGACATGACGTGCCTTTTTGAACACTGGTAAACACTCACGACAACAAATTTTTAGTAACATATAGCATTGTGCAGACTGAAACACAAATTTCCCTCAAAATTCATCTACCGTACGGTGCAAGATATGAGTCCATCACTATAAAGTAGACGATGACATGACCATTACTCTTCATTTATTACGTGTCTGTTTGTGCAATGCAGCGTGATATATAACTTTAATGTAAAAGAAAAATGAAAAATTAATGAAATGTCTTTTTAAAACGTTGAAACAAAAATAAAAATTGTAACATCTGTACCCATACATATATATATATATATATATATATATACATAAATAATCAAAAACGTTAATTTGTTTTTGGAAAGGCAAAAATCTGAAGGAAGTTCGAAATGTAAATTATTGTAATAATTTGGGCATGAAACATATCTGTCCAAAAAAAGCAACTGATTCAACAACAATTTCGGTTTCACCCATGAAGATGAAAGATATTTCATCAGATTTTGTGTAGAAAAAAAATTCGGGTTTTAATTTTAAAGATATTTCAGCAGTTATTTAATGGGTTCATCATTTATCTATTCACATGTGATATTGATAGTAAATTTCTATATTTTATCGTGTATCTTATCACATATGAATATGTGATATTGTTAAAAATATTTATGTTTAAACTATAAATTTTGAATCACGTGTGATTAGGGGTTTTTGCAGTCCGGTTCAGGTGGTTTAACCTTCCAAACTATAAACTAAACCCGTGATGGTGGTTTAAGAGATTTTTCGAACCAAACTGGACTACAAAAATGAGGTTTTGTCTGACCTGTTTAGACGGTTTGAACATCTTATGGGCTTGAAACTCAAAAAAACATAACATTTATATTCAAAATGAAATTTCTACCAGTACAACAATTATTAAAAAAAATAGGATACCGAATTATAAAAGATGCTCTATAACTAAAAAAAACATTGAACAATTTGAAAAAGGTTAAAAAAATCACTAACAATAGTCGGAATTTTGTACAAAAGTATTGAACAATGACATTTTGGAATTTTTTATTCAAGTTTTGACGGGATTCGAAAATTTGACAATTTAAATGATGTGGTCAATAAAAACTTAATGTCATGAACGAACTTTTCTAGTTGTGCCATAAATATAACATGAAAACTAAATATAATTAATACATATGTAATCTTCTAAGGTCGGTTCGATCCAGAACGCTAAAAAAAAATGTTCAAACCGCAGTCCACAAATCAGACCTGATCGAGTGATTTGCCAATTTTTCAGAATGGATCGGATCACTAAACCACTCAAACAGCCAAAAACGATCCGATCTGACTTGGTTCAACCGGTTTGAGTGGTCCAACTGTTTTTGTAAACATCCCTATATATGATATTCTTGATAATCATAGTCTCATTGTAATCCAAATATAACTACATCAAACTAAAGAATCAACAATACTTAGAGATGCTCTAAACATAAATTACTAAAATGCCCTTATTAAACAAGTTAATTACAACTATAAAATTGGATGGATGGGATGAGATGGAAGGTATTTTGACCATGACTCCTCACAACACATAAAAAATCATTGGTTGGATTCATATGTGAATACCTTTTGAACATAGATAATTGGCCATCACTCATCAATGATAGAATGGTTACTTTGAAGCTACAAATACAATGCAGTCAGGAAGATTTCTACACACATGGTGTGTTTCTAAAAGCCATCAGATTGGAAATGGATGGTATAAACTATGCCCCATCATAATCATAATCATAATCATAATCATACAACATTACATGTACACAACTCCCATATTCATCAGCAACCACCATAACATGTTGATATCATAAAACACAAAGTACAATCATTTCATACAAGATACAGGTGGCAACATTTTGTTGTGTCAAACTAGGGGTATGCTAAATACATACCTATTACTTGCTAAAATGGACACCTCAACCACAAGGGTGGTGTCTGATTGGTTTGAGCTTGGTTCCAAAGGTCAAAAGTACCTGGAGGTCCCAGGTTCAAATCCAAGAAGGATTAAAAATCCTTTTGTGGTCACGGAGATTCAAATGCGGTGACTCCGGGTTATCTGCAAAGCAGATGGTCGTCCTGGGATTCGGCTCGCATAGCGGGTTGGATATCCAGGTTAATCAAAAAAAAAAGTGGACACCTCACTACTAATATCCTCTTAACGTATATCAACATTAAGACTAGGACGGCGTTTGGTTCATATAATTAATTTGTTGGAATTGAAATTTGCCAAAGGAATTGGAATCTGAAGGTACTGGAATAGAACTTAAATCATGTTTGATCATGCGTTTGGTTGGCAGGAACTGAAATGGAATCCGTCAGAAGAGTTTGAATATAATAGTGGTGATGGGGTGGAGGCGGTAGTGGTGGTGGCGGCCGTGAAGGTGGGGATGAAGGCACAGTGGTAAAAATGCTAGTGGTAACAACCATCGTGGTGGGATGGAAAGAAATGGAGTAAAGGAATTCCAATTCCACCACGTGTGGAATTTGAATTGCTTACCAAAACTCAAACAACAAAGCAAACGCATGAATGGAAACTGACCATTCCAATCCCTTCTAATTCCGTCGGAACCAAATGCCACCATACTTTTTACATGATTTAATCTGATTTTGATATAAACAGATGTACAAACAGCAATACTCCGCCAATCTAATAATGGTGTTTGAAAAAAATAAAGTAAAAAGGAAGATGTAGCTAGTTATGGTTGTCAGATGTCAGCATCATGGCCCATTTCCTATCTTGAGTAGTGGCAGTGATGTTTTCTTAAAACTCCCACTCTTCTTATAAAAAGAAAAAAAGGATTAGAAATGAATGGTTAGGATTGTTACCAACTTTGCTTCTTGCTATCTTCTGGTCCAGTAGTGTAATAATATGCAGACCCCTTATTGGTCCACACACAGTAGGAGTAGGAGAGAGATGTTTATCAGGGAAGACAATGCCACAACCTACTTGTTTTATGGTCTTTATTCACATCAAATAGACTAACCCCTTGTACCAGCAAGCATTCAGGGGGGGCTCCAAAGATGCTTATGTGAACTCTCCCTGTCTTCCTCCTTATCTGATTGCCCCCTCCCCTGCCCCTATTCATAACCAAAGCCAAAAAGATAAATCATCTTGCATTATAAATATCTAGATTCAATTTGTGTCTATCATTTTCGTCCATTTCGTGGGTCTCAAAGTAAATGAGACCCACAATCACTAGACAGACGAGAGTGAGGTGGGCAGGTGAACGAATTCTAGTATGATTTTGTGTTGTGTTCCTCGAGTTTTTTTTTCTGAAGGGAAAGAAGAAAAATATTGTGTTTTCGAGTTTTTTCAAGGAGAGAAATGGAAGAAAAATCAACAACCTTCCAAAACTTTCCTCCCAAATACGGGAGGGAAGAGAGGGAAGGAAAAGGAAAAAAAGAATTTATAACAATTAAAAGGATTTATGAGATCACATATCAATTGCATTCCACTATAAAATAAATAAGGGTATAATTGTAAAAATGATATCGTTCCTTTTTCTTTTATCTCTAGCTCAAGAACATGAAAATCTATTCTCTTTTCCTCCCTCTCAAGAACACGAATAAAAAAATTATTTGTTTTTTTTTTTCCTTTCTTTTCCTTCCCTTTTTTTTTCTTCTTTTTCCTTTCTTTTCTTTTCTTTTCTTGTTTTTCCTTCCCAAACTCGAGAACACAATGTTCATTTTTTAAAGTTTTGATTTGAAATAGGTAGTTTAGTAATTTATCAATATTGTCTTATCGACAATACGTCTTTTAGCTAATAAATCAGTGGATATTGAGGTTTCACAAACAGTACTTTCCCGATATTGTATTTGGGAGCTCTATATCTGGTAGGGGACGACTTCTAACCCGATTTAAATATACTCAATAAGTACACAGATTCATCTTGTGAATCAGGTTCACCTTATGAAACATAAACAAACTCACCTTATGAAATATAATGACAGTGTATCAAAGTCATAAAGAAATTCATTGTTTCAAAGTCATAAATAGGATTATAAACATTCTCGGTTCAAAGTCACCTTTGAATAATAATGATAGTATTTTGGTGGGACAGAAAAATGTGTTTTTGTCTCCCTCAGGTCTGTCCCGGTCTAGTGTCATGCCAAACGTGTGACAACAAATTTTTGTTATGTCATATCTCGTCCAGGTCCTGCCTACCAAAATGCATCCTTACATTGTGAGATCTAAGGGAAAGACCAATTATCTCTCCTCTGCAACCTTTGCCATCTATGCATTCCCATTAAACAAGATGAAGTGTTCTACTTCTACACATGGAGGTGGGAAAAGGATTTGGATTTATGCAAAAAGTTCAAAAAGGAATACAAGGTAGGACAAGAGAACCAATATACATTGGTCCTCACAATTGGTGAGAACAACCCCTTGTGGAAAGGCCAAAAAAAGACTCAACCCCTGAAAGCTACACAATATACAAAGAAAATTTCTAATAATACATACACATCTATGTTAAAAATCGAACTTACCTATATGTTGCATCTGTCATACCCAGAGAACCATGAAGAGGGTTCTGGTAATTTACTCAATTCTCCTTCATCTTCACTGTAGAATGTATCGAATTCATCTCTCCATTGCTGGTCACTTGTGCCATTTGGCTCCCCCCCATCAGAAACTAGGGGTAACACCCCATTTTCATGTTTTCTCTTCAAATTTACAATCTGTTTGTAAGCCTTATCCTTTTCTTCTTCAGCCTCCCTTGCTCGTGCCTGCAAGACACATGTGCAAGGTTATTTATTATGAATAGTACATGAAATAGTTGGTTCCCAGGTTCTCAAAATATTTATGGTTCTCATTTGAACTTTCCTCTGCTACACAACTTGTAATGCATGCTGAAACAGAAATGGGCAGATACACTGTCTTTCTAAAAGCCATAAGAACAGAAGAATGTTGATTTGATTTGTACTAAAATTCAGCAAAATAATTGGAGGGAGGGACATCCTGCAATAAACTGATTAGAGAAAGTTCTTTTTATCATATAGACCTCTTGCACCTTCTAGAGCTTCTTGACATTTTAAATAGACTTAAGATATGGAATGCCAAAGTCCATGGAAACTAAAACCTGTTTTAAGTTCAAACAAGCAAAAATACCCATTAATATCGGTGATTTTGCTACATCTCCGAAGAAGTATTATGACATGAAAACAAATTCAGGTTTTAGAAAACACTAAAAGAAGGAAAAGATAAAACGAGATGTCGTGAAAATTAACAAGAAACTACCTCAGCAGCAGCAACAGCTTCCTCGGCTTCTTTAAGTCGCACAAGAAGTTCGCCAGCAGCTTGTACAGCTTCAGCAGTATCCCTCAATTGTGCTTGAAGCCCTTTATTCTCATCCCTGTAGTGACATCTCTCCTTCTCCCTCTCCGCCTTTAGGATTGAAATTTCTTCCGCAAGGGCATTAATAAATTTAGATTCAGTACCCCTAACTCCAGCTCTGGCAGCAGCTTTCTTGACATCTGTGATTCCATCCTGAATTCTCCTTTGCATTGTAAGCAGATGCATATGTTTCTCATCTAAATCGGCATACTGTTCAAGCATTCTTGCATGACCTTCCATGGCCATTTGCATTGCTTCCTTCAGCTCTTTGGAACATTTCTTTTCTGTATCAAGTTCATGCTTTTGCTTTTCAACAAGCAAACGGCTAGCTTCTAGTTCACATCTCAAATCTTCTGCAAGAGAAATCCACTTGCTCTCTGCTTCTTTCCAGCGGATTCTCTCCGATTCAAATCTGTGCTCAGCAGACTCTTGAACTGTGTTTAAAGGTGGAACCACACTTGGGTCAGATGGATACGTTATTTGCAAGACAGGATTTCTTTTTTTAGCCGAAGAATCCATATAAGATTGCAGTTGGGTCCTCAAATCTTGAATCTCCTCCAACAATACATCCCTCTCCCCCAAGTCAAAGAAGTTTTGATAACGTTCCAATTCATCCTGAACTCTTTTAAACTCGATTTCTGTCCTTAGAACTTCTGGATGGTTCTCATAATTTTCCTTCAAAATCTGCAAGACATGAAAAGGGGAATTAATACATGAGCAGATAACGCAAATAAAGTTTACAAATGAAGGGAAAATGGCATCCATACCTTATTCTCATTTTTTAAAGAAGCCAATTCATCATCTCTGAACTCCTCGGCAGACAGAATACCATCCATTAAGCTCTCAAGACGAGCAATTTTGTCTTCCCGTATTTGTCCAATAATCAAATTGCACTCTCTTTCATGTTTATATTGGTGCAACTGTGGTAGTATGGAAATGATTAGAAAGATGAAATTTGTATTTTATGTTTGCATTTACTAGTAGAAACAAGCATACCAAACGATTAAGTTGATTAATTTCAGAGTCTTGTCTGGTGTAGAGCTCTTCTAATGCCATCTCTCTCCTTATAGCTCCTGTCAAGACTTTTTCTACTGCCTGCAGAATGATAAAGATGTTAAATCTCATACCAACCAATAATGAAATGAACATAACGAACATTTTATGTTATAATCATACATACCTTGGGAACCAATTGCTTAGATTTATCAGCCAACTGTGAACTATCAGTGGGTACTAACTGCTGCCCATCAACAGGAAGCAATTGCAAGTTAGGACCATCAGATCCATCTTTTACTTTTGGAGAACTTATACAATTGCAGTTTCTGCACAAAAACATCATGGGTTTCTCTTCATCTAGCTCGTTACCTTGAAGAAGAGTTTGTACTCCGTCGTCTTTTTGTACCAGTACTGGCTTACTGTCTAAAGGTTTGCAAGTAAACCTGAATGAGGATCGTCCAAAAGCAGAACTTTTGCAATGTTTATCAATTACTTCAAGACCACGATGGAGACTGGCAGCCAAATGGTCACTTGGTAAACAACTTCTACGAATGTTGGAAGACAGAGGGTTCGAGCTAATGCTTTTTGAGGGTTTCATACAAGGATTTTCAAAATTCGAGGAAACAGTAGTTTGTGTGAGTTCCTTCTGAGAAGCAGTTAACATCGAGGAAGTCCTCAGACTTTTCCTGCTACTGCTATTATCGGTTATTGGTGAAACACTTGGAATCGGAGACTTGAGAACTGGGGATACTTCAGATGGCTCTAAGGTCACATTAGGAATAACACAATCACCCGAGCCATTTTGAGCAGATGCATCATCCTTCACAGCGTCTGTCAAAACATGATTACCTGATTCTGCAGTGCTTATTGGTAATCTTGTTTCTTTCTCTAGCAACTCACTAGTAGATAGATAAAGAGAGTCATGGGGCTTGCCTAAAGAATCTGTATCTCCGTTGGCTTCAATAGAATGAACAACTGTCACCTCAAGATTCCCAACTTCTTCCATATTAACATCAGTATCTTCAGAATCTTTTCTGTTGATATTTGCAATACCAGATACATTTGGTATACAATCTCTAGTTAAGATTCCGCTAGCACCTATGCCCATCTTCTTGTTAACTTCGCTGCCAGATAAAAGAACTTGTTCACCTTCCTCAACAATTTCCATTTCTTCGTCCCCGTCATCATCTACATGAGGCAACATCATTGGACGACTGAGGCTAAATTTCAAAAGATTCAGGCTCCTACGAGCATTCCACCCTGTTGAATAGCCTGCACTTGGGTCATCTTGGTTTCCGGTTGACTTCATGCGCACTAGTTCATCCTGACATATGTAATCCCCAGTTAGCAGCTGTAGCCGAAAGAAGAAAAAAATGCAAACTACAAAAAGGTCTAAAATCTACCTTCAATTGGCGTATCACTTCTCGCAATGTATTCACGTCATTCTGCATTTGTTCATTAACAATTGCCTTGTTCTTGATAGCCTTGGCGCGTTGGGCAAATCGCAATGTACTAAATGTCTCACTTCTACAACTGATGCATATATTTTCCATTCATGTTAGAAAAGAAAAAAGCCTGGGGCAAAAGAAATTCCCATTTTTACCTTTGTGATGGAGAAATGGCACAAACCATCACAAGTTTTGCATTTCCACCAAGAGATTCCTGCAACAAAAATGTCAATTTGGAATCTCTATAGGGGATGTGCCTTTGTTTTCCTGTTTGGGAGACTTCAGCTAGAATGTTGATCAAGTTTCTGCAAATCCAATGACAATGAAAAAAAATTAATTAAATCATAGTTTAACATATGAGAACGAAATCAACAAAATGCAACCAAGAAATGACATACCCTAGCTGTGAAAGCGAGCGATTAATATTACCAGCTTCTTTCAAACGCTCTCCAGCTGCACCAGTTAACTTTTGTCTCTCCGACCCAGCAAGATCAACAAGATTCATTCGACTTGTTTTGCAGCAGCTCAGACCATCCATGCTCTATAGAATTGAAAATTTAAAATTTAAAATTATGGTCACCACAAGACAAACAAAATAACTCAAACATGTAGCCTTTTTTGCCACGATCTTATTACCTTGCATCGAGACTCCACAACACAAGTAAACACACTGTGTGAGCGGGAACTCTCGGTATTTATACTTGTTGCTCCAGTCTTCCGATTCGACAAACCCTGCAAATTTGTTGAGAGATATCAATGTTAAAAATGTAAATAGGGTATATATTTACTTAGCCCCATTAAGCCCATGAGGCCCTTAGGGTTTCTCTTTGGTCTAGGTTTTCTGTCTATATATATTCTTGTATCCTTTCTTTGTAATATACAAGTTAAAAGCAATAATATATCCCTGATTACATATGGTACCAGAGCTCGGTTTGGTAACAATTACTAGTTTCGCATATCGAAATTTTTAGGCACGTTTTTTTCCTTGGATCGAAATTTTTGTTCATCGTTTTTTTTATCGACAAGTTTCCTTGGGTCGGAAGTTTTTTTTTTTTCAGTTTCTTTGGCACCCTGTCAGTGTGATTATCCTCATCTCTGTTCGTCGGCTATTTGGCACCCTGTGAGTGCGTCGTTTGCTTTCTGGTTTGCTATCCGTCGTCCTAAGTTCTACGTTCTCTCTTCTGGTTCCTGATTTATGGAAGATGACCGGAGAAGACAAAACATCCAACAATAGTAGTAGTTTACGTGTACCCGAGATGCTTCAAGTAGATGTTAAGCCCACCGACAACAAGCTTAATGGCTCCAACTACTTTAAGTGGAACAAAACTATTCGTATCTATCTCCAGAGCATGGGAATGGCTTCTCAGCTCACAAGCCACAACATTTGCATTCAGTTTTTGGTAACATTCAAGTTAACACTTAGCAAGATACAACCAACTAACTAGTTTACGCAATCGCACAAAGAGACGTTGTAAATGATAACGAGTTGGCCTCATGTTGTGTTTGTCATGATGCTTCCTATGTTGTTAAAATCGCGATATATCGGCTATATATCGGATATCGGTCTTTGGAAAAATATCGGTAAAAATATCGGTTCCGATAGTATCACCGATATTTACCGATATTTACCGATATTTACCGATATTTCACCCATATTTTGATGGAAAAATCAGTCCGATATACCGATTTTCCTTAAGGCAAATGTTTGGGCCTTTTTATTACATGTTGGCCTTAGTTTTTTGGGCCTCTTTATTTGGTCAACCACTCAACACATATATTAGGTCTCACGCTTCTTCTCTTCTCTGTTCTTCACAGTTCACGCTTCTTTTCTTTCACAGAAGTGAACGTATTAGATGATGTTGACTCGGATGCCGAACCTATTGCTTGCGATTAGCTCGTTTTTGAACACTTTTCCTATTTTGTTTTGTGAGACTTGTTTATGTGATGTTTTAATTTTGAAACTATATTTCTAAACTCTAATTAATGCATATGATATGTTTATGGATGCATACATAAATAATATATATACATTAATATATATATAATCATAAGAAATATTATATTAACCGCTATTTTGGACCGATATATCAACGATATAACCGAAATATCGAATATCGCTCCTAACCGATATTTTGTATTTTTGACCGCAGTAACAGCATAGGATGCTTCAAATCATATTATGGCAAGGTCTTCAACCAAATCAAACCCATTATAGCATAAAAAGTTTATAATGGAACTGATTGTGTTTGATGTTACACGATTACAAACGAACTTTACCAGAATTTGGGCAACTCCACAACACTTGCATGTTTTGAGGACCTGATCTCTCACTCTATGTCTCCTTTACACTCAAGAACATGATCTATATTTCTTAAGACAATAACAATGCAACTACAATAACAGATAATGATATCAGAAATATCAGCTGCATTAACCTAATATGCTTACATCTTTTAACTGCATCATAGATAAATAAAAACCAACCCACCCAAACCTCATCAAGTCAACTTGATTTTGTTACACGGTCATTCTTAGCACATACGATATTCCTTAAGATCTTCCACAGTTTTCACAATGAACAACCCAACCAACTATCACAATTTGCATGTACTTCCAAATTCAACAAAATGCAACATTGAATGATTTTAGTACATAAATTTATGGACAAAGAACTACGGTAAAATTTCTGCAAAGGCCTCACTAAAGCATAGATTTCCAGAACTAGAAAAGCATTAACTGCCATTAAGATTTTTCTTGTGGTTAGTTAAACTAGAACTCTGGTAAAGATGTATACTATAATGTACTAGGTAATAACTGATTCGTGAAATAAATGAAGATTAGGCTTGTTACATGGCCTAAGCATCAGGAAGTGTCTGCTAGTTACCATTGTGTTCTTTAGGAGCCTCTTAAAGGATCATGTGTTCATTTGCTTAACTCCAGTTCTAAAATGTTATAAAACAACAAAAAGGAAACCATCTATCACCAAAATACAACTAAAAATATTCCCTTGGAATTGACAGGTTAGGTTATGGAAACATGTAGCAAGCATATAAGCTGATCCGCTTGTTCAAGCCTTTGACCTCAATACCTTATACCCTGCTACTAGTAATGGTACACCAATACCATGTTAAGCTATTGCCTTCAAGGTCAAGAAAATTACAACAGAGAGTTGATATGAACCAATGTTGTGATAAAAAAGGATAGGGATATCAAACCTTTTTAAGGAGCTGCATCACATCTTTCATATTGTAAATAAATTCCTCGGCCAAATTTTCAACGTAGACACCAGTTTTAGCATCCTCTCGTAGATGAAGATTTCTTTGTGATGGATTCAGCAAGTCAGTAATTTGTTCATTATAGATCTGCAAATAAAATGTTTTGGAATCAGTATAACACTGACAACAGAAAAGTTCACTTGTCAATCATAAATGATCATGTTACCTCAAGAAAAGAACAGCGGCATTGATACATAAGTTGTTTGTCAGCATGCTTATCTTGTTCCTACAAGAAATAAGTAGACCGCGACTGATTTGTGAGAAAGAATTACATACATTGATGTACTTCTCTATGGACAAACTATCACAAGAGCAACTACAAGAAGATGTACAAAGACCTCAGTTATGCGAGAAAATAAGCGTTCAAAAACACGGGGTGTCAAGCCTTGTTCATTACTGGATGAATTCCCTTCCAACAATGTGTTGGTTGGCCCCCATATCGTGTAGGTCTTCCCACTCCCGGTCTATGCAATCAAAATCATAATAGTGGTTAGTACAAATAAATAGCAATGAAAATCATATAATACTAAAGGCCGATAAAAGAACATTTATATACAAAAAAGACTAAATAATACCTGTCCGTATGCAAATATAGAACTGTTAAATCCAGCAAGGCAGTTCTCAACAAGAGGAGCTCCTACAAGCTGGAATAGATCTATCTGAAAGACAAATTGAAGCAACAAACAAATTGAGCAACTATTTCAGCAATACACAAAATCTGAATTGATTTTATTTAAACATGAAGTAAATTGTTGTTCAAACAACAAAACACTTGCCTGAGTCGACGTTGCATCTGCTACAGAATCAAAAGTAAATTGTTGTCCAAGTATTGACAATGAATCACCAGAAGTTTTCTGCACTATCATTTCTCCTTCTTCATTTTTATTTGGGGGCCGCATTCGCACAATAACCTAACAATTGATGACACCACATCAGATTAAATATCCTCCTACATGTATAAGACTCGTAACATTGTATCTTTAAGGGGAAATCTTGCCATTAATACACTATATCTCGTTTTGAATGATTATAGGATTACAACATCATGCGTATTAGCCGATCCCCCCATTTTAAGTTAAAAAAAAACCCCCATTCAGCTGATCATCGTGTTGAAAGGCTATAAATGGTAGCTTTTTCAACAAAAGCAAACGTTGAATTAGGGTTCGAAAGATATACCTTGACCCCGGTATCAGAAGATCCAGAGACACCATTTTCATGATGGAAATCGCTACCAAGCTTGCGCTTGAGAGGATTCGACGACGGAGGTCTTGGTGGGAGCAGAGATTTCAATTTACTGGCAACAGACGGAGAGGGTTTGCCAAAAGAAGGTGATGCATCTGGAAAGACGTTCATATCTGAAGGAGGAGCATTTTCTTTGCAAGATTTCTGCTTCCGCTTAGAAGATCTATTCTGCTTCATGGAACTAGGGTTTGGTGCTGGATTATCGCTAGAATTATCTCTCAAAATCGCGCTTCTTGGTTGCATAAAATGCTTCATCTTTGAAACCCTAATCCAGTGCGCATAGAGAAGGGTTCCCCGACTAGAGAGAGAGAGAGAGACTGTAGAAAGAGAAAGTGAGAAAATGTAGCCGTTGGAGAGGGTTTTGAAGTAGTGATGATTTTGAAATGGAAGTGGGGACGGGACGATGAAGCTGCCTTAACGTTCGTCTGAATGAAAATTCATCTTTAGCCCCTTAACTTCAACCAATATGCAATTATCACTCCAAGTTTGAAATTTATATCTCTTAGTGGAGTGTTTTTGTAAGAATTCCTTTTTTATGCCATCTTGTGTCAACTCCATAAGTGAAATATTAATGTTGACTACATAAATGTTTAGTCAACACCATCAATCTTTAAATAAACTGGGTGATGGAGGATGTTACCTTGATTTTACCATGTAAAAATTCTTAAATAGCATTTCATGTAAGAAGTTGAAAAAGGGTTTCAGCATTTTTGATCTTTAAAACCAAACTCAAATCAATCACACACCATCCTTTGGAGTTTGGATTATGCAGCTATTTTTGCAGATGAGTAGAGAATCTAATGGGGACCCTAATCTCTAAACCCACTCACGATAAACGACATGTTTGTATCGTTATTTATCAAGTTTTGGCCCATAACATGATGAAGATGGGACAAAAACTTCAATCAGTAAAAATCTTGGATCTTGGGAACCGATAAATATGAAACATGATAAAAAAGGATATGATAATGGACAAGGACTCTTGGAAACGCGGCACGCCGTTGGTGTTGCCACACCCTCATTTCCATCTACGTGTCCGCCATTTCCTTCCGCTACATAAACCATCCAATTCAGAAATGAATCTCCACATCACCATGGCAAACTCCATCATCACCTTTTCATTCGTAATTTTCGTTTCAACTTTTGTAGCAGCCAACGGAATTCTAGGAGGAAGGAGTAAGATAACTGACGTCAACACCAACAAAGAGATTCAAGACCTCGGCCGCTACTCCGTGGAGGAGTACAACCGTCTACACCGCAGTGGTACGGTTAAAAACGGCGGAGATCTGACGTTTTATCGAGTGATGGAGGCGGAGAAGCAGGTAGTGTCAGGGATGAAATACTATTTGAAGATCCAAGCGTTTTCAAAAACGAGCGGTGATCCCAAGGTTTTTGAGGCGGTTGTGGTGGTTAAACCCTGGCTTCGGTCTAAACAGTTGCTGAAGTTCGCTCCGTCGCCAGCGGCAGCGATTTCACAACTGGTATGGTGAAATTTCCGGCTTCCTTTTTCCGTTTTTGTGAGATGAATGCTTAAATAAGCCCATTTATCGTGGGTAAGAGAGGCTGGATTAGGGTTCAAATAAAGTGGATGAGTTCAATTTTGTTTGAAATAAACTTTGATTTGAAAGTTGAGTCTATGCAAACCACATATCCATATATTCCCGAATACATTCTATAAACCAGTTAACTAACGATCATAGGGATAATCAGAATCGTTTTCCTTGACTTTGAAGTGGTGGGGTTGTCGACCATCGCAGTGCAGATTCCACATCTTCATGTATGATCGTTCTAGATTTGTCACCTGAAACAAACAGAATTCAATCAGCCAACAGATTTGAAGGATTGTGGAGAATCAAGAATTGAAATAGAACTCACCCAACGGGATGTATCAAATAGAGGACAGGTGAGGCGGGCTGACTTGAGTCTTTTCGTTAGATCTTGGAGCTTCGAGGGATTTAGAGCTAGAGATACCGCCCTTTCTTCATACTCTTTCATGCTTCACATACCACAAGACAGCTTAATTTCTCAGTTCAAATGGATTGAAATCAGAACACTAATACCACAAGACAGCTTAATCTCTCTAAAACAATAAATACATTCAACTCCCACATCATACGTTATATCCCCATGATTTCATTTTAACATTTTGTCAATATCGTCATCTCTATCTGATCTTTGTTCAACAATAGGCAGTTTTGTGCCACACAGACCTGTCCTGTGCCATCAAATGTCACGTCAAAAATGGGACAAGTTATTGTATTGTGCTTATCCCGCTAGGTACGTGCATTGAGATGAGAAGGCTTCTCATTCCACAAGAACGAAAAAAAGTGTGGATGAAGTAGTGACATATTATACATAAGTCGATGGAATGCTGACCTGTTGGCGATCATTTCCTCACCAACTCCGGTGGCTAGACACAGGGAACCAGCAACTCTAGTAGCCATTTTCTCAAGGGGAAGGGTCACCATGGGAAGACCAGCCCACAGTACATCTGTTCCTGTCGTATGTGCATTGCATAGCGGCCTATCACAAACATATACACTCACCAATCATTCAATGTACGGAAAAAGTATTTTTCATTTGGCACAATAATCAGATTCATCGATGAAATATATATGTTCTCCGACCTAAAATAAATGTCCACAAAGAAAAAAGACACTTTTATCCATAATAATGGAGGGAGTAATGAGTTTTCTCCATCACTTAATTAAGGGTATAATTGGAAACTGGAAAGAAGGCATTTATTTTAGGACAAAATAAAATAGAAATCTAGATTAATATTTTAGGACGGAAGAAGTAATTATATTTTCCACCAAACAGAAAATTTCAGTAAGCATACGTGTCAAGGCAAAGATCGGCCAAAGAACTGCGTCTAATGTGTTCATTCTTCATAGCAACATCAGTGAAAATAATCTGGTCGGATTTCACACCCTGCGCAGCAGCATCTACATAGACGAACATCATGCAGCTCAGTAACCATTAGATAGTTTGATTCCAGATTCTACGAGCATAAAATAGATCACATACAGGCACGAAGTCTCATTTCACCAGCAGCTGGGAATCTGAGAAGCCAAAGTGCACTATTCGGAACACGCTTCAGAATATTGCACCTGAAACACGCATAAAGTTATGTGTTTTCTAGAAACAAATTGGTCTTGAACTCAACCATAAGAACACAAAGGTTACCAATGCATAAAAATTTCAGGGTCCATCTTATAAAGCTGATTGAAACAAGCAAATATGAACTTGTCGTCTGGCAACCCGTACGCAGACCGCTTTGGTTGACAGTTTGGATCAAGTACATCAAGATTTTTCTGAACCCAACAATAACAAGATAAATAGTTAGACAAGTGTCTCATAGTAACCACCAAACTATGTGAAGATACCAAAGTTACCTGCTTATAGTCGTTCACAAAGTAACAATGCGGAAGATGCACAAGTTTCTCGGAATAAATATGCACGAGCTTAAATGGGGAGACAAACTGTCATAGGAGCCAGCCATGACATTTTAGTATTCACTAAAGATGATGTACAAAAGCAGACCAAACGAACCCATATATCCCAACTGCAGGTGGAGTTTTGGGAAGGTAAAATGTACACAGACATAACCTCTATCACAAACAGTAGAGCGGCTGTTTACATGTAGACTCCCGGCTTGTGAAAAGTGTGGCAAAGATTAAAGATGTATAACGAACGAAGAAAAAAAGAGAGAAGGAATTCCCTAACCTCATCAGTGACCAGATATTGTATGTAGTTTGCCCCAGTTGTCCCAGGAAATCCCATATATGAGACCTGGATCGGAGCGGGTTGCATGGCAAAGATTTCATTCCTAGCCCCCTGAAATTACATATCAAAAGACAAGGATTGCTCACATATCACAAATCAACAAAAGGAAGTGCATTATGGACGAACACTCACAAATTGGAACAAAAATGATAATAAAAAAAAATTGTTCATATTATCTCTTTTGAGAGCTAGGGAAGAAAAACTGTGACACTAGCCCTCCGTTAGATGCCACAAGAAAACATTACCGGAAAGCCATAACAATCGAATCGTAACCAAAAACCTTAACCTCCCTGTATGCCAAAATAAAGTACACAATCAGTTGATGGTTTAGTTTATTCTAACCTTGGTATAACCATTGAGGTTGACAAGTATTTGTATCTGATCCTCATTTATCAGCCTTGCAATCATATCCGACGTCATCGCCGACACATCTTTAAAGTGCTCTGCTTCTGATTGAATACGGATCCGCCATTCACTACCATCATTTGGACTCAAAGCATAGCAGAACACCTAAAATTATAGCTTGTAACTTCTTTGAAACCAGAACTTATGGAAAATTAGAACAAGATTAAAGATCAGAACTAAAACCTCAATATTTTCCCTGTTATGCATGCCAAATACTGATCCCATCAGATGGGACAGAGGGTGGTTTCCAAAATCACTACTGACATATCTACAGCAGAAGCAATATACCGGTAAGGAAAATATTTCAAGAATCACTTGCCTGAAAGAGAAATTTTAAAGCTTTAATATGTACCCAATTTTTAGCCGCTTGTTACCCCCTGAAACCTTTATCGGCAATGGCAAAGGATGATTGAAAGCAGGAAGAGAAAAACGACTTGCTATGACAGAACAGTGTGAGGCATACTTTCGGCTAACAAAAAACAAAACAAAAAAAATTCCAATCAGCAAAGCTATACAAATTAACCCAGGATTCTAAGCCCACATAAAATACATATCTACCTGATTTCAAGGGCAAGAACAGGATCAAGAGGGTAGGCAATCGCATGGAATGGCTGCACACTCGGAATGACCGATGTCTAAAAAGAAATAACTGGTTAGACATATACTGTAGATATACCAACAGGCTATAAGTGAAGTTGATTAAAGAGAATAAATTAAAGCAGATTCTATACAAAACCTTAATTTGCCTTCGAAGTACACCGTCTACTTCAACAAACATCCTCGTTCTGTCATCCCAGTCACACACACACTAGGGACATGATCATAGAACAAGTTATTCAACGGAAAAGGAATTAGGCATTGCATACTTTCAGATAAGTAACTAGCATTTGAAACAGACTCAAATCGAAGCTACATCAATAAAGGCAGAAAAGAGAAACCTTTTGCAGTTGAGCGATTATAGAACTATAGATTTCCTACATTTCGCATAGTAGCACTATTGTGGTTATACATCCGACTGTGATGCCTAGAGCACAATAAAGGAAACGCCCAGAAACAAGTGTTTTGCACAAGGAGAAGAAAGTTCAACGTCCATCATCATAATAGTATCAAGATTTTAGTTCAACAGACGGATTTGCTATAAAGAGAAATTTGATCATTTAGTAGAAAGGAGAAAAGTGAAAGATCAAAGTAAACGGCTCCTCTACAGAAGATGTATCATACTCTAGATCTTTGTGATGATAGTCTTTGCATTACACCAACTGCCACTTATTGTTTAATGAAAATGGCATATCTATTTGAGATCTGTCAGATGCCACCAGAAATGTTTGTCAATTCTCATTGATTTAAAGAAACAACCCACTACATGAGGCAATTCATGATGTACTGCAAGCAAGACCGCAGATGATGCCAAGATCATAAACTACATGAACTTAGATGGCAAGAGAGTTATGAATGAAAATGAGTACATTAATAATTGATCCAAGATTAGACAAATATACAAGTCACCACAGTAACTGAAGCCAGGCTGGGGTGGTCAATCAGAATCCTCACATTCAAAAAATTGAAGGAATCACTTGTTTCATCCAACATTTTCTATCTGCTAGATCCTCGTCAGTTCTAATTCTACTAGTATCATCCCAGAAAAAGTAAAGATAGCCCACTCAAGAGTTTCAGCTCACAATTACAACATAACTTAATTTCAGTTTAATCATGGTTGTTAAAAGCGTACCTGAGGCGTGCCTAGGCTCTGAGGCTCAAGGTCTTGGGCTTTTTCCAAGTCAGGTGTCAGCGCATTCACAAGGCTCACTAAGACACTGCGCCTTGGCTGAGGCGCCTTGTGGACCTAGGTGCGCCTCATAAAGAGTTACTAAATACCTAGTTAAACCCTAATATTAAGTAAGCTTTCTCATCTTCTCATCTCCTAGATTTCCTAAAAGAAGTGTTATTAAATAGATGACATAAGTCAAACCCTAATATTAAATACCAAGTCCTTAACAACCCTCCTTCTCTATAAATACCCAGAACTTAAAACTTCTCCTTCAAGGCTCACGCTTTAAACCCTTCTGCCTCTATCGATGTACTGTTGGTTGCTGCACTGGAGACTTGGTGTGTGTACCTGTGTGTGTGTGAGTGTGTGTGTGTATTGATAAGATGCGCCTTGCATTCCAGAGGCCCACGCCTCACGCCTGCTCCTCACACCTAGGCCCCAGAACCCGGTCACGCCTAAGTGCGCCTTCAGCCTTTTAACAACTTTTGAGTTTAATGTAGTATATCACTGATGAATCAAACATTTGGAGTGGAGAAATAGCAATCACAAACATGTACCAAAGCAGCATATAACAGCATCCCAGTGAGCATGCTTGCTGTAAGTATACGGAAGTCTAAGGGGCATAGGCGAGTTTAACATTGAAGAGAAATTCAAGACTACAAAATATTGCAACATAGGTGACAAAGTAATATATTACTTTCCAAGATATACCTGTAAAGTGTGTAGCAGATTACAAGTGGCTTCAGGAAAATCAGGGCGTATAGCCAACGCTTGTCTGTAGCTTTTAATAGCTGCTTCCACATTCCCACTACAAAAATTTCCATCATGGGAGTTTAAACATATTCACACATGAACATGACCGATCTAACATGTCTCAACAAACCAAACAAGCTTTAAATACCTGTCCTTGTAAGCTGAAGCCAGATTTGCATGAGCTTCTGCCATGTTTGGGCGGATAACAATAGCCCGTGAATAATCTTGAACTGCTTCATTCACCCTCCCAATCTCTTTGTAAGTGTTTCCGCGATTAACAAGACCATCAGCCGCAAGAGGATCAATCCGAAGAACTTCATTGTAGCAAGATATCGCATCAGCATAATTACCCTGTTATTAAATTCATATTTTATATCAGGTTTTAGAACACATTGTGTTGGAACATAATAACAGAAAATACTCCAACATATGCTACTTTGCACATGAGATATTCATGCTAGTTTTAGCAAATAGCCACACTGAAACTGCAAAAGCAAGAATGTCAATTAGTTTTAAGAGAGAGAGAGCTACCTGCTGCTTGTATATTATTGCAAGGTTGTTAAAAGGAGCAGATAATCCTGTGGTTACAGATAAAGTTGCCTTGTAACATTGAACAGCAGCAGTCATCATGTTCCTGAAGATCACAAACATCTCTTTTAGGACCAGTTTACTTGCATATTTCAACGTAAAAAACCCAATCTTACAATCAATATGAACTAACAAACATACCATTCCATGTATATATTCCCAAGGTTAGTGAGGGCCTGGGGATGGCTAGGTTGGAGAGAAAGGCATTGCTAGATATAAAATGTAGAATTGAGTCAGCAAAATAAATAAGTATGTATGTAGAAGCAAATGTCAACCATAACCTACACGATAACAATGAATGGCTTCCTCAACTTTGCCAGCATCCTTGAGTGCATTTCCCTAGTTAACAAAAACCAAGATTTATAACCAAATGAAAAAGAAATCTGGAGTTCAATTTCCAAAAAAAATGTCCACCCTACACAGATAGAAAAACGAAGTTACTAAGATTGGGGCAGAAAACAAACTCACCAGATTGTTATATGCCTCCAAAAACCCAGCATCACAAGCAATTGCCTGTTTATAGTGGTTAATTGCCATCTCCAGGCTACCTTGCTCATAAAATATGCTAGCTAGATTCCCTGATTTGATGTGAAAATAAAAACGATTTGTAACCATACTGATTTGAGGAAAGATATTTTACAACTAATGTAGAATGAAAGAAATCTTAAATCAGTTCATTAAACAACCTTAATGAACTTGGTGGGTCACTGTATTACTTTAGAGGATATACCATTTGGTGGCAGTGATCAAAATTTCTTGTCAATTGAAATGATTATGTAAACCTTAGATACTGAATTTATTTTACTTACACTCAGTATCGACTATGACAAAGAAGATTGCAACCAAAAAGTGACAACTCAGATAAACTATTCCCAATGCCCTTGTTGGTGTCCTGGTCAAAGAAGAAAACTATTTGACCTCAAGACTACCAATAACAACCGCAAGGGTTGTGTCATAGTGGCTGAGGTCCTGGGGGATGTGGTGGAATATCCCATCTGCCCAGGCAACAATTGTAGCCATTGAGTTTATCAGGGTTGATTTCTTGCAGTCACAATTTTCAGGGATTAGTCCAGGCATAGCCTGGGACACCATTCCAAAAGGACTATCAATCACTCTGAATAAACTCAGCTCAGGATAAAAGATGGCTTGCAACCCCCCATAAGTGCAAGCAGAAAAAGTTTGTTATTATTCAATATATATCATGGTTTCCGTCTTCTAACATAAACAATCAAATCAACTATTTTGTGCGAATTGAAGGAAAACACAAAATAGAAAAGCCTGCTCACCAAAAGCCATAGCATAATCTGGTTTGGACTGAAGAGCTCGTTGATAACAAACAATAGCTTCAGCAGCCATTCCCAAAGCCTGTGAAGTGCAAAATAAAAATCATATAGCCATAATCTTGATCTGGCGATCCTGAATCTTATCATGGAAACAACATAATCTTCACCTTGTATACGTTCCCCAAGTTCAGATAGGCATCAGAAAACGTTGGTTTGAGCTTGACAGCCTCCTGAAAGGCTCAATAACAGCAATGACAATTGATCCAAAGAATACAATACAAACATTTACATGATTAGGTCTTGCTTGAGCTCATTTATCTTGAGCTTGAGCTTAATAATTCTCGAGCTCAAGTCGATCTCGAACACAAAATAGAACTCGTTTAACCTAACGAGTCAAGCTTTATAACTACAATGTTTGACTTTGTGCGTTCGAAAGCTCGAGTAAATTTTTTGATTCGAGCGGAGCCATTCGAGCATACACTTTTTCGAGCCAAACATGTTCATACGTTCATAAAAATACAATTAAAACATATAAATAATCGAGCTCGAGCCAATAAATGGAATTTTAGGTGTAAGGTGTAACTCAAGTTTGTTAAACGAGCATCAAAGCTCGAGCTCGAACAATCAAAAAAATATTCGAGCTCGAGCCCTACTTTGAAAAGGTTATTAGAGCTCAAGCTCAAGCCAGATATTATTTTTCAAGCCGAGCTTGAATAACCTCCTACTCGACTTGCTCAACTTGTTTACAACCCTATACATGATGTGCAGGTGTGTTTGCATACATATCCATACCGTTGACAACAAACCAAAATAGGTAGGTAAACAATTTACTTTATAAAAAGGTGCAGAATTCTTTTACAAATCATAGCATTCTTTATGAACCCAGCTATCAGTTGATTTTGTTATTAGATTTAAACTTCTTTCTGAAGAGGGATCCAAATCTTCTTACCTTGTAATATTGGAGTGCCCTACTAAGATCGCCCGACTCCATGAAAAGGCCAGCAAGGTTGGACCAGGCAATGGCAAAAGTTGGTTGTATATGGAGCGCCTCCAAGTAGCAACTGTATGCCTGTTCAAGAAATATTTCTCGATATATTGCAAGGAGCAACAAAAGAACTCACCATAATGTTGACAAGAAAATCCTTGATGGGTCTTCATGCTTACATATGCATGAATGCAGTGAATAGACAGACACAACAATCTATAACTTAGAAATCTTAAGAGACAAGGTTTGCGGCATGAACAAAATGACCAGGAGTTCTTTAGCGGCTATGAGCAACAGACCTAGGAGTCAAAAGGAAAACAAAAGAGTACAAAAGGGACTATGAGAAACCACAAAAAGATGATAGTTACACATTACTATGGTATGAACAGAAATGGTGCAATATCATGTTGGATCGATAAATGAAGATAGTTGACCCACAATGGATGGCATGAAGTATAACATGTAACCAAAGGATCATTGGCCCAACGGTACCTGGATTACCGACAGAGCCCAGCCTCCCAGGAGGTCAAGGGTTCAGTATTTGCCGTATGTGTGTGTATATTTATACCTCAGAAAAGAATAACATGTAGCAAGGTGGTCTAAGCATTTTAATTCCTCCATAGTTATGACATAATTTCCAATGCAGACAAACGATAATGAGATATAGAACATGCAATTCAATATTTCTTACTTCTTGCATCAATCCTTGAGCTTTCATCAAGTTCCCAAGGTTACTGTGTGCATCAACCTACAGACACAGAGAAATAGAAGAACCTCAAATAACCTGGTGATTGCTTATATAAATGAACAGAAAAAAGCAGGCTAAATATCTACCAAATGGGGATTCAATGAAAGAGCCTGGCGACAGCATTGAGCAGCTTCAGAAAGCCTTCCTTTTCGCATGTACGCATTTCCCAAGTTCGACCACGCATCAGCAAAATTTGGACGAAGCTGCATCAATCATAAATGAGATGAGTGGATTTAACAAAAATTGGAGAGATATATGGATAAAGGCAGACAACGTCAGAAGGTAGAAGTCAATATGGCTCCATGACATCAAACCTTCAACAAGAAGTAAGTTCACCTTAAGGCGCAACTAAGCCATTCAAATTCCCACCTCCACCCGTGCAAAAGAGAAGATGGATCAAGCAAACATGCACGGAGCACCTATTATTTGCTACCTAATTCTACTGGAGATACCAAAAAATTAGCATCCATTTTGTCCTCGATCTGTGAACTCTTCTCATAATAGTAGAGAATGTCATTTTAAAAATTCCTGTACGGTTTGATGAGACTATAATAAGGCTGCCAAAGTAAATTATTCATAACACATTTACGAGTCTCGATCAAATCTCAATTTGGTAAATCATTACTCATTTGTAATGTTTGTCTTTGGAGGTGTTTGGATGTGCGTTTTGAAAGTGCTTATATGATGTAGAATAATCAGAATCAGATGATCGATGGTAACATGGAACAGTTTATGGATGTGATTTCTATTATTTGAAGTTGTAATAAAATATTCAATTAGTCAAGCGTTTCGATAGATTTTGATTATTTAAAAAATTAATAAATAAAATGACCAAAACGACATTCTTGTGAAAAAGAGAGATGTCTTGTAAAATGGGTGTGAAAGTCACAGACTACGTTAAAAGATGGGAAATAGGTATTTTTATTTTACCCTTTGATAATCAGTTCTGTTGCAGCTTTGTTGCAAACAGGTACTATACAGAACTAATTACTCAAAATTAATTATTTAGCCCCTAAATAATCAGATAATTAGAAGCAAAATCAGCTCATCTGAACATTAAAAACTGATTATTGCAATAATCAGTTACAAAACGCGCATCCAAACAGCCCCATTGTTGTTTGGTCACTGATTAGCTACTGTCACAAGCAACATAGGAGATGTTGTCCAATGGTTTATGTTTTCCATGTGATATCATGTGAATAGACGACGCTAGACAAGGCGGTGATATGAAGTTGAAGGTAAAGAGAAACGCCTTAAGATGTGAGAACTGTGGTTTGACAGATGCTAAGTATAAACGCATTGTATATGAAGTTAATTGAGTGCACAATGAAACATCATCTTGTCCATACATGTCATGGTTCACTGCTTCATAACCAATGCCACATAGTTCGAGTGGTAGTGCATGGTATGTAATTCTTGACACGCAACTCATGCCAGTTCTCCCCAAGAAGCATTATATGCATATGTAAGCCAAAGGGAATGTTATTTGGTCCAACTGAGTACTGAAATACTATTGTAGTGTATCAGCATTTTGCGTACAAAGCAATTGGTTTTTCTTTAAATGATTCAGTCTTCCCATTCATAGTAGCTCGTAGTGGCTAAAAATGTCATGTTCAATTGTACATTACATTGACAGTTGGATTTATGTTAATTATATTCTGCAATTAAAAAAGGGCCTCACATATATAAAAGGCAATTTGAAAAGAACAGTTGTATAATACCATGTAGTTATCAAAATTGACTTCTCAAAAAATTCAATGTGCTTCCAACTGTCACCCACTCCATCACCGGAATCTTTCTCCACACTAAAAACATCAAAACACAATGGAGGATGCGGGGAACCATGAAGACAAATAAAATCTATACATCACATAATTTTATGTACAAGGACAAATGATATGGGCACCGTTGATGTATTATAATGGGAATAAAAACCTAATTTTCCATGTTTTCTCTTCTCCTTTGGTACTTCATTAGAGGTTCCTTCCAGGTGCATTTGGCATGTGATGGCATTGGTAGTGTTTTAAGTGAATGGGTAAATATTGGTAGTCATCGGTTCCCCAGCAAATATTTATCAGTTCAAATATAACTAGAATGTTACATACCTCAATGGCAACTAAATAGTAACGGATAGCAACATCAATATTGCCCTTTTCCTGTAAGGTCAAAAGACATAGTTTAGGTTCGGCATGCTCAAACAATATAAAGAAGGCCTGCACCATAAAATCTAATATTGTGTATTTGTGTATCACCTTCCATGCATTTGCCATATTCCCATAGCACTCGGCAAAATTTCGATCAATACATAGAGCCTCTTCATTCTTTGCAATGCACATATCAAAATCATGCAACTGAAAAGACGGTGAACATGTCTTATCAAGGTTAGCCAATGACTGATTGCAGAAAGTAATAAACCACCCAGCATGCAGTGAACTAACCTGGTAATAAATTGCACCCAGGAGAAGTAGATTATCTAATCGCATTGGGTTTCTGTCATAAACAGCCTTGCTATGATCCAAAGCCTGTCTAAAATCGCCAGTCTTGTAACTCTGATGAGCAACGGACATGAGCATGTCTTCGGTAGCTGTAATACACTTGCTTGACATTAGATGCTTCGCCAAAAACCACAAAAAGAAAGACTAATTCATGCCAACAAAGTACAGATGGAACATCAAGTAGCTACAGTAATTGCCTTTCGCAATTTTAAAATTTCTAACACAACCCTCGGATGCAATTCCAACCGAACGCAATTCTAGCTGAGTTTAGTTCATAACTTCTCAGAGGGTCCTCTCTAACTCTCTTGCTGGACATGGGATCAGCAATGTAATACCCTATCTTTTTCCATTGTTTAATCACCCTCTCCTACATGTTCTCTTGCCTTCCACTTCAAAGCTTTCACACTTCCCAAGAGTGGAGTCCCAATTTACAATCTTAGATAGACTTAATGTCAAGGGCTACAAGCATGAACATATCACTTACGAAATTTTGATTCGCCAAGAAACCATCTATTTAAGAAGGCACGAAAATAGAGGGACTATGGTTCACAAGTTCCAAAACCCTAAAAAGTTTAAAATCCCATATGAAAATAACAAGAACTGTAAGAAGAACACACTGACACACAACAATCAAATCTATGTATCATCCTCTAAAACAGTGACAAAAATAAAATTCAAACCTTCACGAGACTCCAGTCCTTGCGATAGTTTAAGAGTAGCATTCGACGATGTCGGAGCAGTTTCAGTTGACAAAAGATACGAAGATTCCCGCTGATGATCACCATTATTATAAGAAACCCTAGCAGTCTGCTGTTGCTGTTGCTGTAGCTGTTGAACTTGCCTTGGATCGCTCTGTAACGACAACATAGCTGATCGGCCGGTAAAAACCCAGATAAATTCCTAGAACAAAATCGTTGTCCCCTATCGAATTTCCTTCTGTTTCAACAAAAATTCATGGAACACAACGATGATGAAAATAACGTTTCATATAATCGTAGAGTAAATAAGGAAAAGAAACTAAAAGATCAGGAAATCCGTCCCTCGATTTCCGGCGATCTTTTGAGTCGAAGGGAAGAACAAGAGAGAAACGTTTCCCCCTTTGTTCGTAGATTAAAGCCCTTGATTTGATCATACATAATAGAACCTACTTCACTCATCACGTGCCACGTACATTCTTCGTGGGATTACCTTTTTGACCATTTCTTTCAAAATTCAAGCAATAAATAAATAATTGTGTTTGCGAAAACGTTTCAATTTGGTTTCTTTCTTTTCATTAAATAAATTTTCGTTCTTTTATAATTTTTTGTCTTTTACCCAATTAAAAACCATAAGTGCCGAAACCATATAATTGATTTTGTCTATTACAAAGATGTCTCTTTGACGTCATTATAGAAAGAGATCAAATCTAGACGTTTTTGCAAACCATGATAACCATCTTGTAATTTCAAAACTGAAAATATCAAAAATGTTATATTTGACAAATCAGAGATAGGGGGTGTTTGGGATTTTTTATAAAAACAACTTATTTATTTATTTCGGTGTGGTACTAGTAATAAACACTTTTGAGTGTTTGGATAAACAACTTATACCGGTGTCAAACCGGTAATAAAAAGTTTTTGAATAAGTTTAACCTTCCGACTCATTACAATAAGTTATATCGTTTTTTGTTTTTAAGTTAAAATAATCAGATTTAAAGAAATACGAAACATGATAAATATTAAAAGTTTGAGCATTTCAAATAAAAAAGGATTCAAATGTTTTTTGAAGTTCTCTTTTTTAACAAATCTCCAAAATATTTTTTTAGAATGGAAAGTAAATCAAAGAAAAAATTTCTCCATAAAAAATAAATATTGGAATAGATGATAATTTACCTATTCTGAAGTATATTAAATATTTTAATAACATAGTTCTGAAGTTTGAAGAGTTTTACTTGAGAGTTATTTTAGGAGTATAAGTCTGAAGTTATACTGCAAACTTATTTTTCTGATGAGTGCATGGTGGTAGGGGTCCTAGGCCCCCACCAAATCCACCATTTATTTAAAAAAAAAAACTATAAAAAGATTTGTTTAGTAAAATTTTATATTATATGTCCGATAAGAACAAGGTAAGGGCCCCCAACAAAAACAAGGCAAGGGTTCCAACTTAATATCATGATTGTTAATTGGTCCATTTGTGGCACACACTGATATTTTCGTTCGAAATATAAAATATAAAAATTATACATCTCGATGAATTAGTAAAAAGTCAACTGAAAATTGACTTGTATAAGTTATATTTATTCGGTTAATTGAATTATTTAAGCTGAAAAGGAAAACCCAACCTTTTTCATCCGGATGAATTATTGGGTTTTGAAAAATTTCTTCTACACCCCTAAGTGTGCCCCTAACTATAAAAGTTTATGGATCCGTCACTGTTTTAAACGAACCTTATGCTGAGGTCGACAAAAATATTTGATTTAATCATACTTTGAAGTCGGACTTCATGCACGCTTTACTTCAGACTTAAGTTTTTTTTTTTTTTTTTTGGTATCAAATACAAAATAATAGTAACAATTTTAAATCAATTTTCATTTTGTGTCGTATTTTTTTAGAAATAACTAATAGCATTAAAAAAAATTATCTATTTTAGGACCAAATTTTCATATATTTTTTTAAGTTGAGTTATTTACAACCGGTTTAAGTATTATTTATTTTCAAGTTCATGATCTTTAAAAAAAATTCAATAATTTTTAAATGGCTTGTATTTTACACTGTTTTAATAGGTTCGCCGTAACGGTCGTTATGATGTGTCATGCCTATATATATATATATATCATGCAAAGTTAAATATATGGTACACCATGGCCTAGTGCATAGCCTTTTTAACACAATATTTGATTTTTTCTACATTTTCAATGTCTTATTTGTTGTTTTTAACATATACCCTCATTAAATTGCTTATTATTTTTGACTCATTGAGTAACAGTAGAAAACGTTTGCTTATACACATAATATTATATATGATATAGAGATTTGTCGTCATAAGTCACGCATTAAGAAACATCATGACCTCACTATAGCTCCCAAAGCTTGAGGCTTAGCCTCACCACGACGAGACGTCTTATATCATTTAGAACCTTAGTATTTTTGTTGTAAAGCACTCCATAATACTAGAAAAATGCCCCGAAATGCATGGGACCCACCCTGCCCTTTGAAGTTCGAAGCCCGTTTACAAGAAAGGACCCAGCTTTTCTTACCGGATTTTGGGTGTAAAAATAGGCTTGATACGGTTTTTGGACTATTTCAGGCCTGGGTCCTATTGGGCTTTCAGAAACAACTTGGCCCGGTCGGGCTTTTAGGCCTGGGATTCAGACTTGCTAGGACCAGGCTTTTCATGCATCGGGCTTTTTCGGGCCTTCTTTGCATCTATCATCGAGGTACTGAATCTAGCTTTCAAGTTCGTTATTTCGCATCTTTTAATAACAAAGGACCGCTAGATAACTTATTGGAACATCAGAAAATTGGCTGAGTTCTTATTACGAAACAAAACCACAACTTTCTCGATAACAAAACAAGCTTAGCGAAGCGTAATCATATTCATAGCTTGATCGCATTTCCGTCAAGAAAACCAGTCGGGATTCTATCATCACGCCTTGCTATCGATCGTCATAGGAACTGCCTCCTGCTTTCTTGCTCCATTCTGCAGTTTGACCCAAAAAATACAGTTAACAACCAATCTTTACATACAAAACCGGTATATCTCAATTCGTAAACCTTTCCAAAAAAGGAAGGATCGATCGCGACTTACTGCAGAATCAAGGTGTTCCAGTTTGTTCATTTTCGCGAAAATATTTCCATAAAACTCGGCATCTTTCTTGTTATACTCCTTCACCTTTTCTCTCAACAGCTTGTACTCCAACTTCACATCCCTGATCAATTTAAGGTATCGAAAAGCAAACTCTTATGATGGTTTTTTGACTTGTTTCGAAGTCAAAAGTGAAAGATTAGAGGGTACCTATTATCAGGATCGATCTCGAGTGCTTTCTTGATATCGAGCTCGGCAAGATCCAAATCGACGAGCTGAATGTATGCTTGGGCTCTCCTGTAAAGTGCTTTAACATTCTTGCTGTCGGCATCTAAAACCTTTGTGCAAAGTTTTACTGCTTGTTTGTAGTCTCTCAGTTTCAGTTTGCAGGCAGCATTGTTCAGATTGCAGCTGATTTTTAGCACCTTCGCCTGCTGTTTCTCGTCGTCACTGAAAGCAGAATCGTATTCGATGTAACTAAGAGCCTGTGTCATAGAAAAAAGCTGGCTATTTAGCTGATCGACCTCAAAAACTGAATTTAAAGTCATTTATCCAAGTGACCCAAGAAAAGGACGTGTGATTAGCTAAATTTTGAAAAAAACTTTGTATGGTTGATATCTTTGTTACAAAGATTCAACAATTCTACATATTTAGAGAATACCGTTCGAATGAATTACCTTCTCGTATCTCTTGGAAGCCCGCTCGTATTTTTTTCTCTTGAAAAGGGTATTCCCTTCTTCTTTCTTTCTCCCAGAAGTTTCAATCTTTTCTGGTGTACTTAGTTCCCACGAGTCTTTTTCCTGTGATCATCAATGGTTTTACGTTAATTCATCTGTTTATCGACACACATTCTTCAAGAACGATAAAAAGATCAAACATTTGCATAAAGATGCTGGAAATAGCAATAGCTTAGCTACCTTTTCAAATGAAATCAACTCGACGTTGTAATGCACAGTGGAATTTGCAGGAATGGTAGCGGATTCCTGATGTGATTCGATCGAACCAAATGCATATTCTGGATGAATAGTTAGCAATGCAACTTCACCCTTCTTCATGGTCTTTACACCTCTATCAAGTCCATCAATAACTTGTTCTGCCATAAGAACTCATCCAAAATTGGTTGTTAGCTCAGGTGTTTTTGTTAAGTCATTTTATTGCATGTAGTTTTAGTGTTTAGTTAATTGTTTTGCATGTTACTTTTGGTTAACATGTTAATAGGGGCCGGTTCAAATAAGAAAGCTAAATATCGTGAGAAAGTAAGAAGAGAAGGTTAAGGGGAGTTCATATGTGATTGACTGAGAAAATCTGAAAAAAATCGCAGATTATTCATATGGGTTCACATATGCATCTTCAAATGGATCTTTTCAATGATTCACATATGAACCTTTCCTTCTTACATTCTCATAATATTTATCTTTCTTATTTGAATCTCCCACTATGTTCATATTTAGCGCAAATTGCGTCGCATTACCATTTATACCATATTTGGGTGGTCACCCTCTCCGTTTGTTACACAGCTAGTTTATGATTTATAGTGGATCAAGTACTTAGACCATTGCTCCCAGTGATCGACCCGTATGCTACATTGTCCATATGCTTGCAGTTAATGTAAAACACATTAGTTTCCATTTGTTTCAAAGAAGGTAATCATCGATACGGTTTTGTACGAAAGTGGTGCTCACCTTCATCTATTTTGAACTCGAATGGCACCTCATCGTCTCCTCTATTCACGAACACGGTTCCATCTTGGAGTTTCCCGACCAGTTTCACTATAAAGAATCAACAAAAAACGAATGGAAACAATATTATTTCAGGTGCCATTATTCCTACTTCTGCATATATTAATCAAGTTTATCCCACGACGCCAAGGAGAAGAAGAAGCAAACCTTGAACAATTGCACCATCGTTTGGATGATCGTAACCTTCTCCCTCCTTCAAGATTTTCTTTCGAACCCTCCTGTCAGTTGTAACTTCGGAAACAGTCTTCCATGAAACCAACTTGAGCGTTATTTGGAGGGTGGTGTTTGGCGGTACAACACATTCGTCGCCACCTGCTGGTTCCCGGCCTTTCTCTCCAAATGCATCTATGACAGAAATAACGTCGAAATATGGCATCAAGATTCAATCTTCGTGCATATGAAATTAAACGACATTTTTGTGTTGATCAAGATTCAAATATCTCACATTGTGGCTTCACAGTAAGGAGGGCCTTTTCACCCTTCTTCATTGTTTTCACAGCTATTGATAAAGCAGGACAGAAACACCCTGCACATATATCGTCTCATAAGTATGTTTGTAGGAAAAACTACTAAATCGGCTTTATAGAACACCAAATATGTATAAATATTCTAATAGACTACTTTATAGGACTTAAGTTTACAAGACCAAACAATCACACGTTATAAAGGTGTTACAATAAGTTCATAGGATACTTTTGGGCATCCCAAGTCCTTTTTAAGACACTTCTGAAATAAAGCGAGCCTAGTAGTCTTTTTATATAACACCCTCTTTGGAAAGTAGCGCCCGTTTTCCTATGTTAGTGTTCTAGAGAACGTTGAAGAAAACGAAACTGAATTCTAAAACGAAAAAAACTACTTACCATCTTTCACAGTGAACTCAACTTCATCAACTTTCAAAACTAAGCCTCCATCCTCAAGCCGAGCCTCGAACTTAACTGTATAACAGGAGCCCATGTCACATGAAATCATAGTGCAACATTGATCAGAAAATCGATAACAAAGAACAAGTGATCGACTACTGATAGTGTACCCATCACTTCATCTGGATCTTTAGGAGTCTGCCAGTTCTCTCCTTCAGTCAGTATCGTCTTGAATATACCTCCATCTTTGCATATATCTTTCACTTTGGTCCACGAGATCAACTCGATTTCAAACTGAAGTGTTGCATTTGGGGGGATGGTCGGAGGTGATCCAGATTCACCGTATGCAAGACCAGGAGGTATCGTGAAAAGGGCTTTTTCGCCTTTTTTCATAGTCTTGATACCATCATCCCATCCTTGGATCACATGTCCTGTAAATAGTACAATTCCCAATTTAGAAACTCATCAAGATCATCAATCCATGTTTTCAAGATTCCATATCTTGATTCTTAGAACCAGAACTCAAGGAAAGTGAACATTAATTAGCAGAAACTTTTGCTATTCCTTTAAACAGTTCTTGATGTTTTATTTTGTATTTAGGTGGATTTCATCTTCATTTCTCCTTCAATACATGAATTTAGAACAAACTTTTCTCCAATTTGAAACCCAAATCTGCTACGTGCATGCTTGTTAGCAGCTTAATGGGACTCGCAACTTATTCGTTCAGTTATACATGATTGTTTGGTAGTGGCTTAACGATATAGTTATTCAGTAGAAGCTTTATGCAGAAAGCCAAGTTTTTTCCAAATATATCCTCCCAATTAAAAAGCACGGTCCTCCCATCTATGAAAAAGCCTCTCAACCAAAAAGTTCTCAAATCTATACAGACATAAACCACACTGTACAAATTTATCCATTCAGTACTTGATAGAAAACCAACCAAACAGTCTCGAAATCCCGCATAAATTCAAGAACACTAACTATAGATAGTTAGAAACACAATTTGAAAGAAGAGTTATAGCTTCAAATTGTTAAGAATTACTCTTACCTAGCCCGAGCTTGAACTTAAAGGGCATCTCTCGATCGAAGCTTGAATCGAACCGAGTTCCATCAAGTAAACTTCCCACATAATGAACTGCAAAATTGACGCCAATCGATCAAGCACCAATCGGAACACTACATTATGATTTGAATCAGATCTCTCTTCAGATTCTAGACATTTTTTTTTTGAATTCTAGTTTAATAATGGAATCCCCAAATCAAAATTCATCAGGGTGACAGTAATGAACACAGAATCATGCAAATGATTAATGATTGAATTTTGAAGAAATGTACAACAATACCTTCAACTTCATCGCCATTAATGGGGGTTTCCCAGCCATCACCTTCCTTAAGAATCTTCTTCTTCAACCCATCTTTTCCGATCTCGTTCTCCTCTCCAACTTTACCGACTGGTGCACCCTCCGGTACATCCATATCCTCGCCGATGCCGTCTTCTTCGTCGCTGTCGTTGAATTTCCCGGCAGTCGGAACCTCAAAATCATCCTCCATTTATCCGATAACAATTATATATACGTATATCCAAATTCAGACAAAAAGACAAAAGGGATTGGTGAGTGAAACGTGAGGTTGTTATCTGACCGGTGTTCGGATATGATCTGAGAGGCTCTAATTGAACCAAACAACACAGAACTTCCATGCTTCTGCCATGGCCTATATATACGCATGGGGTTGAAGAGAGAGAGTGTGAGAGCTCCATGGATTTGAAACGAAGATGAGAGCGAGTAAACGGGGATGCTGTTGGTGATCAACTGTGTCTCTTTAACTTCTTCTCCTCTACGATCCAATCTTCATGGGTGTGTTTCTGAAATTGAAAAAATCCCATCTGATTTCGAATAAATCCAAGATGGGTCTTGGGTTATTCGTGATTTTAGAACTAAGATTGGCAATGTTTGGATGATTCAAACTGATTTTTATGAACTCCCGGCAAAACTCCGGTGTAGAATGTATATAAAAAGTTGTCTCTATTTATATTTAATTAATATAACCGTTCATTTTAGAGAGGCTTATTGTCATAGAGTCTAAAATGAAATATAATTTTGGTAATTGTTTACAATGAAACCATGATTAAGGAAAGCCCAAAATATAAAATCAGTTAGAATGTTTTAGAATTATTAAGAGACATATTTTTTTTTTGTCAAACAAGATTCAACTCTTAATGATTCAAAAGTTGTATTTTAATGAAACTAGTAAGAGATAAACAAACAACCCCTAAATTCGTATTAATTACGTTCGATTGATAGTAGTATATTAAGTCTGTGAATTTAGTTTATATGTTGTATCAAAGGTTGTGTATGATGGTATCACAATAATTTTGATTTATTTACTTATTTATTAGTTAAATTAATTATTTATGAAGCATAATTATTGATTTTTAAGTTTTATATCACCGACTTTTTAATTTGGATATTTGAATGTTTGCAAGTTTTATAATGCAATTAAAACCCTTAAATGGGATATGTATCGGCCGTAGACTCAAAAGTTGAACTAAATGACAAGTTTTCATTCATATATGTAACTTGAAATTGGTACAAAACTAGTACCAACCGAGAAACGTTGGTACCAAGTATAATTGTTTGTATACGGTAGCCCTGTAAACGAACTATTAGTGAACCATTCGGCGGGAAGTTCGTTTATGTTCATTTATTTAATAAATGAACGAACATGAACAAGTTATTTTTGTTCGTTTAGATAAACGAGCATGAACAAAGGTCTCGTTCGTTCACTTACGTTCGTGAACGTTCGTTCATTTATGTTCGTGAATGTCCGTTCATCCTTCGGCCCCTCAGTCACTACGAACGCCTCGATCAATGATTGCATAGATGAACTCCCAAACATTTGTTAGATGTGTCGATATCAATAAAGAGTCATTTGTGGCCTCCCGGGATAATAGATGACTACGGGCGCGTAAAACAAAAAAAATACGCTGATTGGGGAACAGGCAGTAGTGGGACTCTCATGTCGATCTGAATACTTGGGTTAAGGGTCAAGTTGGTGATTTTTCTTACATCTCCTCCTCCCGGAGCCCATACCAAGAGGCCACGGTAAGACGTGTCGTTTTATCATTACAACTTGCGTCTTCTTGCTAAGTTAGCGTTTATATAGAGATGATAGATAATGTTCATGAATATTCGTTTAATATGTAAATATATTTATATAAACTTTTATTTACATACAAGGAAATTCTAAAATCTTGAAACTTGACCCATAAAGAGTTAAAGTCATTTTTGGGCTAATTCAACTTGGACCTTTATTTAAACTTTAGTCTATTACTTTATTTATGTTTGTTTATGTTCATTCGTTTACGTTCTTTTATGTTTGTTTAACATCTTAACGAACAAACATGAATGAACACGAACACGCCTACTTTCTAAATGGACGAACACCTAAATTTTTGTTTGTTTAATGTTCATGTTCGTTCGTTTGTTCGGTTAACTTAAATGAACGAACATGAACATGACCCCGCTTGGTTCGTTTACAGGCCTATTCTCCAGGCTTGAAATCAAGCGCCACCAGAGCCCCTGTAGCCCTAGAGGTTCACCTTCAATGACTCCATATTATTATTTGTGGTCAGGAGGATTAGTCGGTGCACATAGGTTGGTCCGCATACTCACGGTTACTAAAAGAATTAGAATATAAATTGGCAAGTGCATGTCTACAATCATTAGTAATCACAAATTAAATAAGACGTGGAAGATTAAACATTTGCTACATTAATTTTTCAAGATATCAAAATGACGAGTTTAACAACAAATAACACATATATGCATCTGTGATGCATATGTATTTATGGTGTCAGTGTTGCTGCTTTTTCTTATCGAATATGCAGTGTTATTCCAGTTTCCCCCTCACTTCCGGCAAAAAACATGTTGTTGCTTTTCGTGACAAAAAATGAGGCCATAAAACCACATGAATGGTGAGAACTGCACATTTAAGTGGTTGTGGAATGATTACGGCAATAAATGCATTAGTAAGGCTTGTTATGTTGGTCTAATTGAAGTTTGAGTACGCTAAAAGGTGGTTATGCACGTGTAGTACCGTCATAATGCAAAAAGAATTAAGTAAATTGGCTTATAAACAAGTTAGTTTGGCCAAAATGATATTGTTTGTGAAGAACAAATCATGAATGATGACGTTGACACGACCGAGGAGGTCGTCTAGTCAATCTCACAAATATGATTATGCATGCAATGTTTGAACTGTTGCGAAGGTCACGTGAGGCAAGTGACACGAGCTCAGATGTCACATAGATGGTCATAATAACCACTCAACACGAATTAAGTGACTACCAACTTCATTTTGGTTTATATATGCTTTACAACTTCTCGTGTCATACGTTTTTATATATATATTTTTTATAAGTATGTTATGCATGAAATTGTCTGACAACGTGTGTGAGGTCAGGTGGTGGGATGCTCGTAGTGGCAACAATGATGCATAAAACCAATACGTGCATCACAAGAATACATCTATACACAGTGTCGTCTAATATCACTAGTGCATGTTTCCAATCGTTGTACTTGACAGGTTTATATTACGAATATGATATATGCATAACTACATTCAGTATTATATCATCATCCATATCCGTTCAAAATCCGGCATGATGATATTGTTGATCATCTTTCTCAGTGATTTGATGATAATCCATTTTTTTCTTTCACGTTGTATTTGTGTTTCTGTATTTTTAGTTCCAGCGATCATCACTGAGTATGTTCAGTGATCGCTGAAGAACTTGCTTTGTAAATTCATCAGAGACAACAATACTTCAAGAAGACAACACTCACACCAAAGAACCTTCAGCGAACGTTGAAGACTGAAACTGAAGATTAGAGACTGGCGAGTACGTGATCTGAAGCGGTATTCAGTGATTACAAAACCTGTCTACATATGTGTGAAGACTGCTCTAGCTTCAACGAATGATGATGAGACCTCCAGGTCATCCCAACATTCAGCGATCAAAAGAAGCTTGCTTAGCACGATAGTTGTTGTCTTGTCATTTTGCACACAAAGGACAAACCCATACCCTTGCAAAAGTTAGTATGGTATAGAGCCGATTAGTCGACTATTTGTCCACCAACTTTAGGCAAGGATGTCTGCTCAAGAATAGTGCTTTTGTACTATTCACTGTAGCAAAGGACAAATCTTCCTTTTAAGGCTTGACACACACTCTAAACCTACCATATTGCATTAAATGTTCATTTAATGCACTGGGTATAAATAGAAGTGTTTATTCTCTTTGCAGAGTGCGCGCATCACTCTTCAACCTAATTCTTACTTCAAGCATCCTCTAGCTTAAGTAAATGATCTATCATATAGCATTCTCTTTTCTGTGTTTGCTATAGTTTCATGTGTAACCAAAGATTGTTTAGATAAGTTTTTCTTTACCTTATCTTTCCGCAAACAGTCTTGTAAAATTTGTATTGATTTTTTCTATCAATATATATTTTAAATTTGAAAACATTGTGTTTGTATTCATCCCCCCCCCTTCTACAAACTGTTTCTTATCTTGTAGACCCTTTCGGGACCAACAGATATGCATACTCACGTGTTACAACGTTAGGTATTATGTTTTGCTTTTTCGTTCTAAATTTGAATACTCAGTTATAAATATATACAACATCAAATTATTAAGCTGACTATAGGTTTAAAAGTCTTTGGTTGTAATTGATTAATAATATGTTTATGTTATTTCTTCAGTAATTATATTCACTAGTAACTGTTATATTCATGTTGGTTAGTAACTTTTGTAGCTCGCATAAACATGACTTGGAATTAAAAACAATCAAATCAAATAACAATAGTTTATTATATGTTTTTTAAAATTTTGAATCAAGATTTTTTTTATAAAACTTTACAAAACTTAATAGCACAAAGAGTCTTAGGTGACGTTTGTTTTTTAAGATGTGCTGAAGTATGAAGTTTTATTTCACTTATGATTAATAAGAGGTGGTAAAGTCTGAAATCTGAATAAATAAGACTGTCTATTTTTGTAAACTGATTGTCTAAATTTGTTTAAATTGTCTATTTTACCAAATAGAAAATTACAATTTTGAACTTATAAATAAATTTATACGATTTCACATATTTATTCATCATCATCACGAAATTTATATTTAAATTACTTAAACGAAAATATGTCATTAATGGTATTTAACACGTTTAAATCCTATTAAAATACACCAATTGAGAGATGTGAGGATCAATCTGTTAATGATCAATTGAGAGAAATGATCGATTAAGGTTAATCGATTGAGAAATGTCGTTGCTAAAGATTTCGAGAACAATAAGATGTTGGTTTACCTCTTACCAGAATAAGAGAATAATAAGATATAAGTGCCTTTGAAAAATTGAAAAAAACAAACAGTCCAAATAACCCTACCTCTTAAGGAATAAGACATAAAAGGCTAATAAGAGTTAAAAAAACCAAATAAGACCTTAGGGGCTCTTTGGCGGTTATTGAATTATTTGATACAAAATGATTAAGAGACTCTTATGATACAGTGTAAAATGAAATATAATTGTTTATAATAAAATTATGATGCTGAATGGTCAAAGACCCAAGATACAAAATCATTCAGAGAAACATATTTTTTTTTTGTCAAATAAAATTTATTTCTCAACGATTTAGATGATGCATGCTAATAAAATTATTAAAAGGTAAAGAAACAAGTCATTAAGACGGATACATGTTGATCCAAACACTAAAAAAAGAATTTTCAAGAAAAAAGAAAATCAATAATTTTCATTGTTTGGGACATGATCGATCATTGATTCAGACTCCATCCACCATTGTACAGTAGTTCATAATAAGCTCACAAAACAATAGTCGCCCCTTACTCCTCTCTCCGTTTTGACTCCAAATTCTTACAATTCTCGCCATTTTCAGTGACCCCTTTTCACCATCTTCCCCAAAGGGGTCGCAAATCAAATTTCATCCAAAACCCCCACAAAAAAGCTTTCATTTTGGCAGACAAGATGTCGACGGAGATGGCGAATACGGATCCAGAAGGAATCGACGGAGTTCGTATGACCTGGAACGCCTGGCCACGTACAAAAGTTGAAGCCAGCAAGTGTGTGATCCCAATCGCCGCCTCGATCTCTCCGATCCGCCCTCATCCACACATTCCGACCAACCCTTACGCACCTCTCCGATGTAAGACCTGCTCCGCCGTCCTCAACCCCTTCTGCCGCGTCGACTTCTCCGCCCTCATCTGGATCTGCCCACTCTGCTTTCAACGCAATCACTTCCCTCACCACTTCTCCGGTATCTCTGAAACTAACGTCCCCGCTGAACTTTACCCTCAATACACCACAATCGAATACACTCTCCCCACTCACGATGTTCATCACACACTTCCTCCACCTGTCTACGTATTCGTGCTCGATACCTGCATGATCGAGGAGGAACTGGGGTTTGCCAAATCGGCGTTACAACAAGCGCTTGAATTCTTGCCGGAAAACGCTTTGGTGGGTTTTGTTTCCTTTGGGACGCAGGTTCAGGTTCATGAATTAGGGTATGCTGATATGTCTAAGGTTTATGTCTTTAGAGGATCAAAAGAGATGACCAAAGATCAGGTTTTGGATCAATTGGGGTTAGGTGGTGGAGGTTTTGCCGGTGGCCGGAGAGTTGGTGGTGTGCCAGGGCAGGGGTTTCAGAAAGGGGCAATACAAGGTGGGGGGTTTCCTAACTCTGGTGTTTCAAGGTTCTTATTGCCTGCTTCTGAGGGTGCATACATTATCCATTCGGTGAGTTTATTATGACATTGATTTAGATTCAAACAATTCATTGCAATTTGATGCTTATTGAAGTGATAATTCAGCTTTTGGAGGAACTAGGCACAGATCAATGGCCGGTTGCACCTGGTAATCGATCATTAAGGTGTACTGGGGTGGCACTGAGTGTTGCAGCAGGTTTGCTTGGGGCTTGCTTGCCTGGTACTGGTGCTCGAATGGTTGCGTTAGTTGGCGGTCCGTGCACAGAAGGCCCTGGTTCGGTAAGTTCTTTGGCAATGTCTCCTGCAATTAAGTACTACAAGATTTTAGTTGCAAATGCTGTTTATGACTGCGGTTTGTTCAGTTAGTATAGTGTAGTGATTCTTTTGATTTCTAATTTATATTAGTTGTAGTTATTATTTTCCCAGAGGCTGCATTGTGTTGCCATTTTTCCCTGATCTTTTAAAGAACAAGCAGGGTTATATGGTCATAGTCATGGAACTAAGATGAGGGCATATGTTTCAGCATTTTCTTATGGCAAATGGTTTTTCATTGGAACTTGCATTTTGCAATTTGGCTCTAGAAAACGCCATTCTTTTCATGGTTGCATTTCTTTTTAAAATTTATCTATGCTACTGATTGTGTCATTGTTTGTGGTAATCGTATAATTGTAACAAATCTCTTTGAGATTAGAATGACACCTTGTTCAGTACATGCCTATGTAGACAAAGTTTTAGGATTAACGGGTTTTATGTCATAACTCCATGACTCCATGTACATAATTAAATGTCATAGTTGTCAAGTTAGCTTTTAACTTTAGGTTTAGAACAAAGCTAACAAAGTTCCCTAAAATTCTACCTTTTACTTCATATACAAACTTTCAGTGTGACCAATGGCGATTGGCAATCTCACTCGTATAGCATGACATGACCTGCCACCTTTTATTTTGAATAAATTACAACACTTTCTTCGTCTTTTATCTGTACTCTCTGGAACCAGTTGCAATTTAACCGTAAAATAATAGCAAATGTATCCCATCAAAAAGTTGGCATTGTAGGTTGTCAGATCTGTCTCTTTCAAACACTTGATTGAATGTCATGCCTGTAAATATTTGTCCTTTTATCAGGTCTTGTGAAAATTGGTTGATAAAATTAATGAACTCTGTAACTGTAAGCATTTATATATATACTTGAGTTCAGTTTTGGTGTTTGATGGTTATGAAGATCCGATCCTATCGTTCTTTTATGTTTCCACTTCCCAAAGAATCTAAGCTTCATCACCTTTTGGTTTTCAGATTATATCTAAAGATCTATCAGATCCGGTTCGTTCACATAAAGATCTGGACAAAGATGCAGCACCATATTTTAGAAAGGCAGTTCAGTTTTACGAGGAACTTGCAAAGCAGATGGTCAGTCAGGGTCATGTTTTGGACCTTTTTGCTTCTGCACTTGACCAGGTACAACTCTCATTATCTAAATTTTGCTATTCTTTCTGCACCTAGCCTTTTAGCTGTTTGAAGTTTAGACATATGATGGTGGTTCTATTTCTCCAATGTCTGCAACTGTTCATAGATTTAGAAGGTCAGTTAATCTCTCTGTAAAAGAATTTATCACTTTCATCATTGTTTTTTCTTATTACCGATCCGTAGTTGAACTCTTCTCTTGGTAGTTGGTACATTGTCTTTTTATTTTGTTCCACGCGAGGTATTTAGAACTGAATTAATGCAGGGAGGCTACCCACATTAGGGTGTCAGCAGTTCTTGATCTCGGGATGAGTAACTAATAAAATTTGGGATTGTTAGTTAGCAGCTTAATGAGCTTAATGGGACTCACAGCTTATTCGGTTAGCTATAAATGTCTGTTAGGCAGTGGCTTAATGATATAGAAAGTGGCTTATTATGCAGAAAGCCAAGTTTTTTACAAACCTGACCATCCCAAGTAAAAGACGTGCTTCTTCCATCTATGAAAAAAGTAAAACATCTTCCCAATCTATATAGACAGATTAATCCACACAAACAACTTTATCCATACAGGACTTAATGGAAAACCAACGAAACAACCCCTTAGAACTCTTTTGAGTATAGATACTTTTGTTTCTATCAAAACCTTTTCTTCAATTCATGTACTATAAACTATGTTAAATATGTAGTAACTTGCAACTCTTTACTTTTCATGTTCCCTGTACATAACTTTGTTGCTTGATTTTCTATTAGACGTTGGCGGTGGCTTCACTTCTTTTCATGGTGCACTCCGACCTTGGTAAACTAATGGAGTTTTTATATTCTTAGGTTGGGGTTGCAGAGATGAAGGTCATCATTGAAAGAACTGGTGGTCTCGTTGTTCTAGCTGAAAGTTTCGGTCATTCAGTTTTCAAGGACTCATTCAAGCGTGTTTTTGAGAAGGGGGAAGAGTCTCTTGGCCTTGCCCATAAGTGAGTATTGTCATGCTTGATGATTAAGGTTGCATTTTTTTCTAATGCCTTAATTGATGCTGGTTGGCACTTTCTTCATTGATGTTGTTTATGACATGCAAAAGCTATATCAACCCTAGACACTTGGTGTGACCGTTCTTTCTTCTGTTAGGGGATGTTTGTTAGCAACTTAATGAGCTTAATGGGGCTCCTAGCTTATTTGGCCAGCTATACATGACTATTTGGTAGTGGCTTAAATGAGATAGAAAGTGGCTTATTCAGTAAGCTTCCACGGGGGAGCTTTATGCAGAAAGCCAAGCTTTTTCTAGACCTGCCCCTTCCAAAAACCATGCTCCTTCCAAACAAAAACCTTCCAATCCATACAGACAAATTAATCCATACAACAACTATATCCATATAGGACTTAACAGAAAACCAACAAACAGCCTGTTAGAGTCCCTTGAAAATCCACAATCATATTACTAGACTTTCTATGGGTCATTTATTTAGTTTCTGAATATATTAATGCATACGAAGGAGATACAATGGTATCCTGTCTCAGCATTTCAGGTTCTTCTTTTTCTGTAGGCATTTGGATTTTCTATTATATTATAGATGCATATTTTTTTCTGTGAATCCTGCAGTTAGAATAATAAGATGCAGTACATTGTAATTATAATATTTTGAATCATAAAAAAGAAAACGGTTAGAATGAACTTAGGTACAAAGAGCATCTCCAACAGATTCTCTAAAATAGAGAATAAGGTTTTTATTCTCGATTTTGCTCCAACAAATTATCTATATTGTTCTCTAAAATAGAGAAAACTAGAGAAAGCTCCAAGTTTAGAGAATTCTCTAAAACTTGATATGTGGAGAGAGAAATTAATTTTTTATTCATTTCCACCAATGATATTGAATTATTATTATTTTATATAAATTCTTATTAAAAAGTGTATTGGGATTATAAATTTTTATAAAATATTTTAACAATATAATGGATGTTGAAATCTGTAAAATAATATGTTAATGTTAAATGTAATTCTTTTTAAAGATTTTGACTTTTGGTTCTCAATTTAGAGAAATTAAGAATATGTTGTTGATGCTCTAAGGCCTTGGGATATATATGAACTGCCATAATAGGTGCTCAGTACGTATTGGAGTTGTCTCTTTTATCTGCATTATATTGAACTAAAAGGCTCCTAAATTAGTTTCTTGCGCCAAGGCTTTGCTTTAGCTGTTAACATTTGTAGAAGGGGCAGGGTTTGTTTTGCTGTAATCCTATGTCTCTTGTTAATCATGCTTATTTATCCCGAGGCCAATTATATATCATGATTTTGTATCTTTTTGAAACTCATCACTAGTTTATTACTTCCAGTGGCACGCTTGAAATAAACTGTTCGAAGGACATTAAGATTCAGGGGATCATCGGACCTTGCACATCCTTGGACAAGGTCATTTACTAAATCTTAGTTTGAAGTAGAAATTGATCATTGATTAAAACCATTTTTTAGTTTTTTGATGATTAGTTTGCTCTCTGAAATCCTGTTTACTGATACCTCCATTGCAGAAAGGACCTTCTGTTGCGAGCACAACAATTGGACAAGGGAATACGACCGCTTGGAAGTTGTGTGGACTGGACAAAGATACTTGCTTGACCGTTTTCTTTGATATATCATCAAGTGACAAAGACCCTTCTGGCAATTTGAATCCACAGTTGTATATACAGACTGTTACGAGGTAAAATAGAGACTTGGTTTGTCTTTTTCTTCTCGAGAAGTTAAAATAAAGTTCAATGAAAATGGTCATTTGGCATACTGAGTCGATTCATCCATACTAAAAGTATTTAACTAGGTGTGAGTGACTTTCTTCGGGCCATTGTACTAGGTTGTCCATTGCCAACAAATCATTGTTCTTGTAAAATGCAAAAAAAACACCATCTTTTGCAGCGATTGTAGGCTTAAAAGTGACAAGTAAGATGTTCTTTTCTGCATTTCTCACAATCTCTCAACAGTTGCTTGTCCTTGTATGTTAAGTGTTGTGTTTTTGGCATTTTCATAAGATGGTGGTTAGTTTGCAATAAGAAGCTAAATACAATAGTTCAAAACGTCAATCACTCTATTAAGACGGGTGTTCGATTCCTGAAGGATGTTTGGTACCCAGACAGGACAACATAAAACAGGACAGGACAACTATTCAGCATTTGATAAGACATGACAGTAAAATGACCAATTTACCCCTAATGAGTTGTTTATAACTTTTCTACCTTGTTCAATGGGGTGGGGGTGGATCACGCCTGTTCCACTTTGTCCCACTCTATTCCTGTCTGTTCCACATAGAAGTCGTCAAATATGGAACAATGATCCCTGTTCTGTTCTGACTTAGTTCGGTGTACCAACCGCACCCGAAGTGGACAAATTATAGGATTCTTTACATATTAAAAATAGATTACGGTGTTTTAAGAGAAAGTGCATTTTAGTCTCTTTTGCACTATACTATATACTGTGGTGTTATATACTTGTCTGCTTAAGATCATATACTTGTCTTTCCAACCAAATCGGTTGGATTTTTTTTTGTGGGATGCATACTTGTACGGTACATCTTTCACATATAGTTTCAATATTCAAATATAGAGAGAGCACAATGCTTGTGTAATTGAAATTTACGGCTCATGAATTTTGACGCAGTTACCAGAGCGTTGATGGGCAATCAAAAATGCGAGTTACTACTATTACTAGAAGATGGGTCGAGAGTGCCGTTGTTTCGGAGGTAAAATAGTAAAACCCTCATTCATCGTTTGTTACTCCTTTTAGAGTAATTCTGCAGAAATATCCAACGGCTTAATATCTTTTCGTGTAGTATATTAGTATGTAACTGATAATATATTCCGTTATATTAAACAATAATATGAGAAAAAATACATGGAGATATGTTTTAGTCATTTGCTAAGCAAGCATGAAAAATAAACAAAATTTATAGACATCGCTCATTATGCAATGTATTTTGTATAACTAATGGTTATTCATTACTCGTATAATTTCATCAAATATTATGCAACACGTATATTTGAAACCTTTTCCACTAAAACATGGATAATATCCGCATGCACATATGATAAAGCGGATGCAGACATGATCGCATCTGGTCTGTTTACAACCTTACTAGGAAACGACAATTAAAAATCTGTTCCGTTCATCAACCTGGAAAAATTATTGCATGGTTGGGTCAACTTGGTCAAAGCACTGTGACCCGTGATGATCAAATTACATATGAATATGTTACATAGTACTAACAACATAATATGTTATTAAATATTAGTAGAACAATAACAATTTGGAGAACTTTCTATAAATATGCAAATGCATTTTATATTTTTATTGTAACTTGAAAACTATCATTAGAGTGTCCATCTTCTAACATGCATTTTTCAAATTAATTTTGTTTGTTCTAACCCTTGTCTTTTGTGAAGTGTCGAAAGTAAGGTTCCATATTTCTATTTTAGTTTGTCCCAAAATAAGCCTCCACTTTAGCAAGTGCCTACTTTCCGGTTCTACCCATAATTTTGAGATGGAGAAATTCATTACTCCTATTATTAAGGGTAAATTTGTAATTTAGTTAATTAAAAAATGTAGCAATTACATATTTCTAAAACAGTGTGCCTTTTTCATTTTGGGCATCTATTTTGGGACGGAGGGAGCATTATAGCATATCCATTTCGATAACTCCAGTTATATGGTTTAAGATTGAAATCATACCAACTGAAAGATGTTTTTCACAGGAATTGATGCAAGGTTTTGATCAAGAGGCTGCTGCTGTAGTAATGGCTAGATTAACTTCTTATAAAATGGAGATGGAGGTAGGAATGCAGCAATTTTCATGATTGATCGTGTAGCGTTTCCCTTTTTTTATTTCTTTTCGTGATTGTTTTTTAGTTGGCGGTTGATTGGTTATTGATAATTTCAGGAAACATTTGATGCAACAAGGTGGTTAGATAGAAATCTCATTCGTCTGTGTTCTAAATTTGGCGATTACCGAAAAGATGATCCATCCTCGTTTTCTTTAAACCCAAGTTTCTCATTGTTCCCCCAGTTTATGTTCAATCTTCGGAGATCACAATTCGTGCAGGTAAAACTTTCATCTATACCCACGTGCAATATTACTACCTTACCGTTCTTGTACCCTTTAATTTTGATAACTGTTTCACCCATCTCATTTTATGTTTGCCCTTTTCTGGCAGGTGTTCAATAATAGTCCTGATGAAACTGCTTATTTTCGCATGATGCTAAACCGAGAGAGTATAACAAATGCCACCGTCATGATTCAACCTTCATTAATATCATATTCATTTAACTCCCTGCCTTCACCGGCATTGCTTGATGTGGCATCCATTTCAGCTGATCGAATCCTTTTACTAGATTCGTACTTTAGTGTTGTTATTTTCCATGGCATGACGATAGCTCAGTGGAGGAACATGGGTTACCAGAATCAGCCAGAACATCTAGTATGTTTTACTTGATTTCATTCTTCATTTTTTTGTATAATTCTTGAAAGATCAACTTGAATGAAATTTATAGCCCATATTATTCATCGTATAAGATTCGTTCCTACATACATATGTGTGTGTGTGTGTATATATATATATATATAGAGAGAGAGAGAGAGAGAGAGAGAGAGAGGAAAGTTGCATTAGGAACCCAGGAACCGCCAATAGCGCCCCACATGTCCTTCTTAAGGATAAATATTCGTCAATAACACGTTCATATTCCTGATGAATATGCCACGTGTTGCGCTGTGGATGGTTCTTGGGTTCCTAATCAATTTTGGGTTCCTAACGGGACCTGCCCCTGTATATATATAATCTTCATATATGCATGTAACCTCGTAATATGATGAGTTCTTATTTCTCTTCATAGGCATTTGCACAGTTGCTGCAAGCTCCACATGATGATGCTGAACTGATCATACGGGACCGTTTTCCTGTCCCAAGATTGGTGGTGTGCGATCAACATGGTTCTCAGGTCATTATTGCATCATTTTTTTTTTATCTCCATCAAAATGTACCTTATATGATTTTTTTTATTAACCTGGATATCCAACCCGCTATGCGAGCCGATTAATCCCAGGGCGACCACCTGCTTAGCAGATATCCTGGAGTCACCGCATTTGAACCTCCGTGGCCACAAGGGGATTTTTATTTCTCCTTGGATTTGAACTTGGGACCTCCTGGTACTTTTGATCTTTGAAGCCAAGCTCAAACCAATCAGGCACCACCCTTGTGGTTACCTTATATGATTTTTACATCCTCTACACCAGTTATGGTTCATGTCTTCATGACTAAGAGTTCACTAGACCAAATGACATGATATATTGCTCTAGTTTTTTTTTTGGGAACTATGGGTGTCTAGACCAGCTTGCATGCATCTCGACTTATCCCATGGGATCCTATAGTTAACAATCACACAAAATCTGGTAAATTACTAAACTTTCCCATGTCGGAGTAAAACTTTAAAAGTTTCCAGAATTCTTTCACCCGCCTATCTCGCTCTCACTTGTCTTGTCCTGCCCCATCCAGTCCTGTTTGCGTACCAAATGGAAAACGCACAAGGACATCAACGAGTATTGTATTTGTATGCTTTCATAAACGCATTCTCATCTTAGGTTTGACTGATACGTTGTTTTATGGCGAGCAGGCTAGATTCTTGTTGGCCAAGTTGAACCCATCAGCAACCTACAATAACGAAGTGGCTGCTGGAATGGATGTTATCTTCACGGATGACGTGAACCTTCAAGTGTTCTTCGAGCATCTACAGAGGCTGGCAGTACAATCTTCTTAACCCCCGATCAAAATTAAGCACTTGACACAGTTTCAAAACTCACGGGTGATCGACCTTCTCTTTCCTCTCCGATTACTTGTTCAATTGCCGAAAATTATTCAATTATGCATGAGAGATCAATCATTCTGTTAAGGGTGTTGGCAATACAGAGTGTTGAGAGAGTGATTATTTGAGGCTGCAAGTTAGCGAGAGGAGTATGCGACATTTTTCATTTTGCCGGTTTTGTAAGTTACTCATGAGATCATCGTTGTGTATTCAACTATAAGGTTATATATTGGAGCCAAAACCAAAAGAGCAGCAAAGGTTTGGATTTGGGTTTTTTCGTGTTACGATTGTTGATACATGGTGGTGGAATGTACACTTTGAATTCTCTCTTTTTGTACGTCGGATAATACTATTGGTTTTGACCTTTTATTCCAAGTCATTTTTTCTTCGGGTGTGTATCAAGAGTTCTCGATCAATGGGTTTTAAGGGTTTGATATTTTGTCGGTTAAACGTATATTAAGGAAAAATGGTTCAAGTAACATATCAGTCTAGAATGTCGAGCCCTAAGAAGGGTAAGCCATGGCTAGGAGAGAATCAAGGTCTACAACATCTAATGAAGAGAAATGGTCTAAGTTTAACTGATTGTACTAAAGTATTGAACCCCTAGAATGGTAGATCTTCACTCTGATACCATTGAAGCCATAAACATAGGTTTTTGTGAAGTCTTCATACTCGATAGTATATGAATTACATTTATACATACAATCATATACTGACACGATCATGATCCAAACAAAACACCAATTTGCTAACAAGACTCGCGTTCAATCGTTTCAGCAAATCATACCCGTCATCAGTTTTTATGTCGGTGCTGTTCGACCAACTCGATAAGATGCTCATAAGTCCAAACTTTGCTCCTTCTATGGTCAAGTTCTGCAACAGTTCTAAGAAAACCCCCCTTTCCAAAAGCATCAAGAACCAAAGGGTCAGTTTTAAACTCCACAAGATCCCCAAAAAACCCCATCTTTCTCCAAGAATCCAATTCACCAACCCCATCAAACCCGAACCCGTGTGCATCCCACAAGATCCCGCATGTAACAATGTCAGGTTTCACACCTCGAGCTCTCATTTCCGCTAGCACAACTTTCAAACGTTCGAAATCTTTCATTTTTGCATATCCAAACAACATAATGTTTGCAACCGACACACTCCACTGAACTTTCTTGTAATCCATCTCTCGGCCCACCGACTCCATTCCAGTTCGGCTCAAAAGACGAGCGTGGGAAAGCATTCGTAAACACCACACGATGTGGGTGTTGCCTGTTTTGGAATAAAGATTGATACCCATATCATCCAACTTAGAAAACATACAGTTTTCCATATAAACAGCAGCCACTTTTCGAATCAAATCATCTTGCAGGTAAACTTTTGGTCTTAACCTCAAAATCCTTTTATAAACCTTCTCCATCTTATCCCAAAGTCCAAAGTTACTATACACCTCGAGCATTGCCACCATTGTCGAAGCTTCAACATCCATCTTTTTTGAGATCACAATTCGATGCGTTTTTTCCATCATATTGATCAATCCAGCAACCGAAAACTCTCTGATCAGCAAATTATAAGTAGATTGATCAGGGATACACCCATTCGATTCCATTCTCTTCACACATGTTGCCATATCGTCATACAAACCGTTCTTCGCATAGGCTTTGATCAGCCCATTATAGGTCGACGTATGTGGCTTCACTTCGAGATCTTCCATCTCTTTAAGATAAAGCAATGCATCTTCGAATCTCCCTTTTTCGATGAATCCATGGATGATTGAATCATAAATCTCTGATGAAGCCTGCAGATTCTGAACATTCTTCATCTCTTTTAAGGACAATACTGCATCTTCAACTAATCCCTCCTCAACCAAGAATCTTATGATTCTCTGATAATTGAATTCGCTAACTCGTGAATCATCCTTACTCTTCCATTTATCAAACACCTGGTGTGCAACATTTCAAAGCATGAACTAAAAACCAAAATAGAAGCTTAACCTTTCTTGCCTCCATTCGATTTCAAAATCTCATCCAACAGAAAACTTTCAAATACAAAAGAATAACATTCAAATTATGCGAAACTTCACCTGGAGAACCTGGTTCGATCTGGAGGTTTGATTGAGGAATCCAACAACAGCCCAGAAGAGTTCTTTGCTCCAATCTCCATCCTCTTCAAGAATCCGAACAGGGTCCGAGTCTTTATCTTTGAGTTTCTCAAACAAACTCCTTTTGAGGTTCCAGTTTTGTCGGAGATCATCAAATTGGACTGTATCTTCTTTGTCAGAGTTCGTTTTGCCACGGGAGAAGTATACAGAAAGAGAAGGAGTTTTGGTCGAACGTGAGAATTGGGATTTTGTAGCTGTTAGGGTTCTGGAAGAGGGTTTGGGAAAAACTAGGGTTTTACAGAGGAAGGTTTTATCGTTAATGGAGATGGAGGGAAGAAGTAACCCCATACCCATTCGAAGGTCAAACATCAAATCTATGACTATTTCTCTCTCTTGTAAAAACATAAATCGGATACTATTTTTCAAGTCAAAATTAATTCAACAAAGTTTAGACCAACCAATCTAATTTGGATGTTGAAATTTTGGATCTAACATGCTCCAGTTATAATATCCAATTCGATGATAGTCAGTCGGTTTTAATTGGATTGATAGGTTATAATTAGAACATATGACTTTCTGTACACTCCTAATTCTCGGTATTTGTCATGCTTACCTGATAAGGTAAGCAACATCCGGTACAGGTTTTTGGTTCTAAAAATTAACACATGTGTTCATTGTTTGCTTTTGATAATAATGTTCCAATGTACCGTGAATCTGATTTATCCTATCAATTTTAAAGCGTTTGATAAATCTGATATTTAGAGCCAAAATAGATGTTACAGAATTTACATGATTGATACACGAAACTTTTCGTTTATAACTTGATCGAAGTAATTTTCTTGTTTTTTTCTTCTTGAGATCTCGATCCTAAATAAATTGGGAGATCTATCGCAACACTCAGGTTTTTATCGAGTTGTATCAAATTTACACTGTGTAGTTATCATGAGATAATAACTTTTCATTTGTAATTTTAATCAAGACAATTTCTTAATGTTGATTGTTATTCTCAAAATTTGTATGCAGACAAAATTTATAGATGTCTCGAGCAACATTTGAGTTGATATCACTAGGTCTGTTCATTGATTGACATTTATTGGATGTTGAAAATTTCAATCCGATCTGATCTACTTATGGTCGATCGGTTCTAATTGGATCAATCGATTCCAATTGGATCGTTTGATTTTCTGCAAACCCCTAGATGAAAATGTCGAAAACCAAATAAAAGATCTTCTTTGAAGAATAAAAACCAAATAAAAGAATTAGAAGAGTAGATATTTTCTTTAAATCCTTTACATTTTAAACTCTTGTGGTTTTAGGACTACGGTTTTCATCTGTGTGGTATGTAATTCATTGCAATTTTTAGCCATCACATTAACGCTTACCTTTAAGTATGATGGACAACAATAGCAATAAACTGTAACTTGTAACCGATCAAAACGTAAACAACAAATTTTAAATCTTAAGGACGAAAACAACATTAAAATTAAACCATAGAAATAAAATCGTAATTTTAAAAATATGAGGATGAAAATAACAATTTTTAACAAACCACATGAAAATGAAAAAGAACGTAATTACTCTAAACTAAAGATTAAAGTTTCAGTTTTCATATGATATTAAATTCGAGTTTTTTTGTGTGATTTTGTTTTAGGTTATTAATTCTTATATGATGTTGTGGTTTTTTTTTTTGTATTATATTAAATTCAATTTAGTTTTAGGTTTATTGAAAATGTTTGAGATTTAAACATGTATAGTCTCTCACATATTTAATTTAAAATAACTTACATAAACAAAACAAAAATCCTCGTTTCCCCATTGGAGATGGGGATAGGGTGTGATTACATTCCCTAACGGGAATGAAGATGGGGACGGAGATTAAGGTCCTCGCCCCATTCTCATACCTAGTAAAAGTCTATTCCATCAATTATCATGTAAGATTTTCGACCTTTCCTATATCTCTTATCAAATAATATTATTCGTCCTTCAGAAAATATATTTTTCTGATAAATAAATATTTGAGCATATTTTATGATATAGACATTGTTGAGCATAGAAACTCAAAATTTTCATGTAAAAGGACAAACAAAGTAACATCGTGCACAAAGTTTTGGGTTTGGAGCCAACTTTGCTACTTTTATGATAATACTAAAATATGTGAATTTGCATTATTGACCTTATTTAATAAGCACCGTCTAAAAAGGATTACGGTTCGAGGAAGGGACGGAACTAGAATTTTTTTCAAACGGTGATACCATTTGACTATAAGAAAAAAATATATAAGGAAAAAATTGCAAACGGTGGCATAATTTGACTATAAGAAACAAATGTAAATGGTGACATCATTTGACTAAGAAAATGACACTAACAAGATTCGAACTTGGTATAAAAATCTATATATCTGATATATTATTTATTGGTTTTCATTTTGATTTCACGTGTTTTTCAAGGTTATGATTGGTGTTAGTATTTGTTTTCGAACATTTTTAGGTGATGATTTTGGTATATATTTTGAACGTGACGGGTATGATATTAAATGACCAATTGTGATAGAACGTGATTAATAAAATAATGTTAAGTATTTTTTTTTTATTTTTTATTAATCTGGATATCCAATCTGTTATGTGAGCCGATTAATTCCAAGACGACTACATGCTTTGCGGGTAGCCCGGAGCCACCGCATTTGAACATACGTGGCCACAAGGGGGTTTTTATTTCTCCTTTGACTTGAACTTGAAACCTTCATGTATTTTGACATTTGGAGCTCAAGTTCAAACCAATCAGCAATGATAACAAATTCTATTTATACAAAAAAAGTAATACTTAGAGTAAACTACAAATTAGGTCCTTATAGTTTGTTAGGAATAATTCTTTTAATTCCTAGAGTTTTAAAATTACAAGATGGTCATCGTGATTTGTAAAAAATGTCTGGATTTTATCTTTTCCTTTAGTCACAGTTAAAAAATTTCGTTACATGAGGGGTATTTTCGTTTTTTTATCGGTTTTTTTTTATCTTTTATCCAGTGGAAAACCTTAGGGACCAAAATTATATGAAATTGATTTTGATAGAGTAAAAGATAAAAAAAACGAAAATGCCCCTTATTTTAACGGTCATTAGAGGGTGGGACCAAATTTAGACAATTTTACAAATCATGATGGCCATCATGTAATTTTGAAACTTTAAGGATGAAAAGTGTTATTTTTAACAAACGAAATAATTACATATATGGTTACTATGGCTTGATTTTTATTAGGTAGTGATTCCTGTATCTAACTCTGTTAGGTTTAGTTTTTTTCAATGTGGACAATTTAGTCTTTTCTTAAATTTTTTACCTTTTTTTTATTTAAAAAGTAAAGGATCATATAATTATTATATTATTATAATATAATTTATATATTATACATATATATATATGCACAACCTCAAAACCATTTCTTGAAAAAAAAAACTTTTATCTTTAAGAAAAGGTAATATCTATTAGAGATTGATACCCAAGGTTTAATAATTTTTTTGAAAGTGGGATTTGAACCTCAATAAGTTAAGATGTCGTTTTTCAGGTTTAGATTTTATTTTGAAAATGGGATCTCATCATTAACTTTGTTAAAATTCTCCGCTATAGCCAGGGGTAAAATTGTCCAACCATGTTTTCCCTCTCTTTTTGTATTTTCTTATATTTTTTTTCTTATTTTTGTAAAAACCACTGTGATGACCAAAAAACCATTGTGTGTTGTTATCACCTCCGACCATGACATCTCCGACCAACCTCTCCCTCACCGCATTTTGGTTCGTCATCATGGAGATACACAGGTGGAGGGACGATCACATTGGAGATTTTTGGTCATCACAATGGAGGTTTTTGATCGATTACAAAAATACAGAATACAATGTCCGCAAGAAATGAACCTCTGTCAACCATACCCTCCTGCTTTACTGACGCCTGTCTTCGCCAACACCCTCCGTCCTCCCTTATCTCAGGCCACCACAACGTGCATCATCGTAAGTCTTTCCCCTATTTATCTTCAACCACCATTCCAACCAAACAAAAAACAAAACTGCAGTTCTGCCTTCTCCAAATACCCATATCCTAGAAAATCCAGTCAAAGATCGACGAAAATCCTTTTCCCACCACCACTACAAAAGCTTGGATGCATGAAGCGAAATCTTAAAAACAAGTCAACCCAAATCTGGTGAAGAAATCGAACTTGTTTCTTCTAGTGAAATCCTTGGATTAAAAAAGAAGCATTTAAAAATTGACCGAAGAAGAGAAGAATTTGGTTATCAAAGACTTAAAAGAGATTTGAATATCTATATGCCTGTTTCTCTCTGAATAGGGTTTCAGTTATGGTTTTTTATATGGAATAGTTTTAGGGTTTTGATTTAGATTTAGAATTCTTGATATTGTTGTCTTAATATGTTCTTGAGAAACTTGATGTTCTTGTTAATGACTGAGATCATGAACGAACACGGATATTCAATGTTCAAATTTTTTGTTTAGAATCTGGTTTTTAATTTAGATATAGGGTTATTGATTGGTATGAGTTTTGTATAACAATTCTTGTAATAAATTTGTCTATATTTGATTGCTTGAGTTTGATTTTTAATTTTGATCCGTTGAGTTTTGATTTTTAATTTTTAATTTTAGGTGGAGAATAATTTTTTATTTTGCGGGTCGAGGTTGATTTGATAGGTTCATTAGAGTCCAAAGATTGCAAATCTACATATGTTCAAGGGGTAACATCAGAGAAGGGAAAGCTGGTCGGAGATGGTCGTCAATGGCCAATGAGTTCAACCAACCTGTGATTTATGTTTCAAGGCCTTCTTAATGATCTTAGGTACACTCATTCACTAGAAATTTACATTAAGCGGCTAATAGCTAGAGTTCAAGCAACCTATAATTTAAAGTTCAAAGCCTCCGACAACTCAATGTCTATTTCCAGTTACAAACAGAACGACTATCCCATTTTAAAGTAAACCAACTCTTATGCCTATAGATTCATTGCATCACAGTATAACATAAGTCACAGCTTTAAAGTGATCAACTATAATCATACATATAGTTTTCATCATCCAAATGTCCTCATAAAGATATCTGACACAATATTACCAAATCGGATCAAATCCCTTTTACTTTAAATAAAGCATTTCTTATCTGAAAACAACATTACTTGCATCCTCCTTTTCCAAGAGTTTATAATTTATAGAATAACCATAAATCACAGATGAAATACTTTTTTTTCCAAAACATAGTCATTTTTTCATGAAGTACCTTCAGATATGTATGAGTCCATGATAACCATGAAACATGTAAGAGCTACAGTAACATTTATGTTCATAAAACCTACTTCCAAAACATATATTT